GTTACTATAGCAATAGAATAGTCCATCTTTGTTCTCTGCAAAGCTTAAGCAGTACAGAGCAGAGGTATGGGACTGAAAGCCAACTTTGAGTCCTAGGCTTCAGTCAGATCTCTGAAGTTGAAATGTTGTCTCAGTAGGGGTGCTGGCCAGAGCTCGCTGTTCTCAGCGTGATCCAGATCTGTTCTCCTGCAGAGCAGAGCTGAGAATGAACCTGAAATATCTACAGACACATTTGTGGAGGTAACATTGGAAACAGAGGGAGTTACTGCTCTAGTCCAGTGGTCGTTAGACTTAAGACCCAGGCGATTGAGAAGTCATTCCTCTCAAAGCAGGAAGTTGCATGGTAAGTGGTTTTCAAAGATTTCAGCCTATCTGCACCTTTTGGTTTATTAGATAGGGCTGCTGGTGTATTTGGGGTTTCCCTTTGGGGACTTTTCTGACTGGCCCCAGCTGAGCTCTGTGCTGCCTGGGCTGGATCTTCCCCTTCACCAGTGTGTACTCAGGGGGCTTCCCCGGGGACAGATGGGGCTTGGCCACTGCAGGATGAGCTCTGTGCCATGCCTGAGGGATGGAGGCAACCTCTGGCTTTCCAATGTTTGGTTTGGAGAATGTGTAGGGGGAATGCACTGTTGTAAATAATGTCATTTCAGCCCCAGTGACTTTTTGGCTGTGATTTCTTAGGAAGCGTTGCTCTCCTGGACCTATGTGGTGGAACCCACCCCTGGGGTGCTTGCCAAGGGCTAATTGGATCTGATGCTCTTGGGTCTTCAGGAGGGAGAGGCAGAGGTGGCAGGAAACACGTTTCTGTCACTGTTGAATAATGGGCCTTATCTCACTGAAGCTCAGTGACAAATCACTTAAAAAACCGTGCTGCTTCTGATAGATCCAGGATGCCCTGGTCATCTCCTCAGTGGCTAACTCAGCTATCTCAGTTGGACACTGTAACGGGAGGAGAGGTGGAGATGGAGATGCTGGAGGCTGTGCTGCCAGGGCAGGGCTCATCTGATCACAGTGGAGCCACCCTCCCTATCTCTGCCTTTCCATCCAGGCCCAGGCGAAGCCCTTCCTCCTTGCCATGGAATGCTGAGGTTGGGTGCCACTGATAATGATGATGACTTGGTCATTTGTCTGCCTGTATCCTGCAGGCTGGAGGTCTGCCGCCCAGACCTCAGTCTGCCCTGGGCTGTCACCGGTTGGCTGCTGACAGTGCTGGTTTCTCAGGCAAGGAGAAGCTGCCTCAGCCCTTGCTGCTCGGTTCCAGCTCAGGGTTGGCTTGACTTCACTTCTGAAATCTGCTCTGCATGGGCACATGTTCCAACTGGAAGGAGCCCAGGGCTGGAGTTCTATGTTGAGGTCTGTATTCCAGTTCCTGGCATTGGCTGCACAACTAAAACTTTGTTCTATTTCGCTTAAAAGAAGCACTATTCATGTACTTAGATTAGCCATCAGTATCTCCTGCGGTGAGCAGAGGGATCAGCATTACCCAGATATTGCAGAGAGGTGGCTCATGGCAAATCATCCCTCTGCCAAAGCAGATAGAGATTCTGAAGTCACGAACCCCACACAACCCAACTTCATGGGCTTGGGCTGATGCACACACTGCCCTGTGTCTGTGCACGTGTTCAAGCAACGCAAACCTCTGTTGTTCCTTTATGTTGCAGAAAATGGATGGCAGACGAGCTATACCCTGAGGGTACAAGTGAGGTGGGAGCTGGCATGCAGGACACCTCAGAGCTTGCTGCCCATAGCCTTGGTTCTGGGCAGAGCCATTTTGTGCAACAGCATCCGTGGCCAAGAATATAAATAGCTGGTCTGGTGACCCAGGAAAGAACTGCCATAGAGGCAAAGTTAATTGTCAGCTGAAATTATGGGGACATTGTTCTTCCAAAGATAACCTACAAAGGATGAAGCATAGAGCAATTTTTTCCCTTTCATGATGAAGGAAAGAGACCTGAAATATTGGTGTAATGTCTTTGTTTTCAGTGTTAGGGTGGCTCTCACATTTAGATGTTTTCCTCCATTCCCTGTCAGTGAGAATCAAGATGAATTAACTTTTTGTTTCTCCACCATGTCTTCCCAGAAGAGAAGCTGAGATAGCTCTGGTTGGGCTGGGCAAATTCTCTGTTTTCTTTAACTTCACACAGAGACCTATTTTGTTTTTAGCTAAAGCATGAAATCTGGGGCCCAGGGATGAAGAAGGAGCAGCAGAAAATCATTTGCTGGAAATATCTGCATAAGACATGAGAGTTCATGCGTTCATTCGTAGTGGAAACCTGCTGCTTGCTCCTCTTCCAGGCTGGGGATTTTGCAATTTGTCCCCGATTGATCAGGTGATTCCTATGACCAGCTGGAAAGCTCACCCTGCTGCCTCCTTCTTGCATCCCATGGCACCAAATCAAAATGTCTGTTGTGTCTATCCTGGTCAGGAACTTTGGTTACAGGAAATTACTGGAGAAGGGTTTGCGTATGAATATACTGGCATGGGGCTGACTGCATCCTTCTAGGTTGAGGTGGGGAGAGGTGAAGCTCAGCAGCAGCTACACAAGCCCAGAGAGACAGAGCAGCTTTGTGATAGTTTGCTGCTGCAGCAAACAGAGAGGTTTTGCAACTCATTGCCTCACTTTTCCTTGCAGAGGGCCCTTGGGGTCACACTGCTGTGTAAGTCAAATGTGAACAGTGCTTGACCTCGGTCCAAGCAAACCTCAGCCTTGGGCAGTCCTCCTAAGAGCCAGCCCGTGCTCCAAACACAAACAGCAGTAATGTGCCATCCGCCAAAAGCTCTAATGACTTCTTATTCATTCTCTAAATGCTCCTTTAAAAGTCTTCACTGAAAATCCAAGCCAGAATCTTTTTTAGCAACTAAAAGCTGAAGTTTGACTCAGAAAATAACAGGGTGTCTAAGCTTTGAAAAATGTTCTCCTCTTGCCCGGTTTGCTTTTATTTTTAATGCAACCAGTTGGAGAGGCTGCTGAAAGAAGCCATTTCCTACAGAATCTTCCACCCAGGCACAGGAAATAGTGATCTATTTTTCAATTGGGCAGCAAGTCACCATCCTGCTCACAGCTGGGCAGCCCAGCCCCAGGAATGCTCAGCAGTGGCAGTACCTCCTGTCCCCAGGACAAACATACATTGCAGAGCTGCTCGATGCCCCAGACAATGATGGATGTCCCCCCTTGGCCGTGCAGAGCAGTGGGTGCTGCTCTTTAGGTCTGAGGAACAAATGTTGCATCTTCCTGACCTTACACCAGATGCTGGCACTTTGCAGCACACAAAACCGCCCAGCCAACCTGAGTGCTAACTGTCATGCTCGGAATAGATTTCCCAGCACTTCCTAGCATTTCTCTGGTGCTTTCTAAAAGCATTCCTGTGCTAAGAATTTAGGCAAGACCATAGGAATTTCCCACAAGTTTTTTGGAATTTCTTTGTGATTTCTGGGAATATCCCTGTTCATTCTAGGAATTACAGAGAGCTTTGCTGGAATCACAAGCTGGAATCCCAGGGACTTTCTGAACATTTTGGGGTGCTTCCTAGCAATTTCAGCATCGTATCACACACCTTTCCAGCACTTTCTAGGCCTTTTCTTGTGCTTTCTAGGAAATCTCAGGTGCTTCTTAGGAAACAAGAAGTCATTTCTAAGTATCTAAGCACTTTCTAAAGATTGCAGAACACTTTCTGAACATTTCCCAGTCCTTTCTAGGAATTCTCCTTTGCTTTCTAGAAACTACAGGCTGCTTTCTAAGCACTGCTGAGTGCTCTCTAAGACTTGCATTGTGCTTCCCAGGAGCATCTTTGATCCAAAATCCAAGCTGCCAACATTCTCCATAAGCCACAGGGCTACACAGCTTTCTGTCTGCAGCACATAGCACCTACTTTTAGAACAAGCAGAAAAGGACCTACCTATCCTAACTCTGAACAGCGAGTGATACAGTGGCAAACCCTGGAAGCAGAGCAGTCTGTTGAGCTCCTGCCACAGCTGAGATGTTTTTTCAGTGTCTGGAACTCTCAGCACAAATAAACCCAGGGTTATGGTAAAACAGAGAGTATGTCGGCCGCTCAGGCAGAGGAAGGTGTCCCTGCTTCAGCTCAGCCAACACGTTCCCTTTCTGCATGTACAGACCTGGCTGAAACCACTCTGTCCCTCACCTGGATAGCCAGGCTTTGTGCAGGGAAGGCACGGCGGAGGAGTAGATCTGCAGGGCTGCATTTGCCCTGTGTAAGGTATTTCACATCTTGCTTTCCTTTCTCAAAGAACAGCAGTTGAATTCAGTGTTTTACCCTTGCATGCCAACCCACACAGGCGGTGGAGCAGAGCTATTTGCAGCAGTGGTGAATGGTAATTCCCACGAGTTGAGGATGGGGTGCTGATGCCTGCTTACCCAAGGGGATGTGTTTCTGTCACAACTACTCTCCATCACCTCTCTCTTTCCCAACATTTATCTTACTACGTTGATAATTTTAGATCTGGCAGCAATGTCCAAGGGTTAGGGCTGGGTTGTTTTTTTTCCCTCTGCCTTCAATATAAAATAAAAATCCTTGGATGACTGGCTAAGGGCCAGCGCCCTGAACCACATTCATACTGGAGCGCAGTGTTGGAAAGTTAAGTTGGGTTGGGAAAAGGTCTCAGGAGAGAGCAGAGCCTCTGAGCCGTCTGGTGAGCTCAGCTTTTGCTTCCTGACAGGCTGCGTTTCAAAGGCTGGGGCAAATGCAGAGCGCTGCAGTCTGTTTTCGCAGCTTTTTAAAGACAGACGGTGCCTCGTTGCGCCTGGCTGTGGGGGTGGGGATGTGGGGAGGGTGTGTTCACCCAGCAAAGGTGCGGGCACAGGAACGCAGGGCTGCACGCACGAGACCCGCATCCCAGATAGGACAGCGCTGGTGACGGACCGTCCTGCTGCTAGCATGTGCGCCCCCCCGCCACAGCTGCGAAGCCACCGCCCCCGTCACGTGATTCCACTTTCCGTTTGCGATTGGCTGAGCGCGATCACGTGCTGCAGGAGAAAGGCGGGGCGTGCGGCCGCGGTTGCCACAGCGACCGAGGGAGGCGGCGGTGGGGTAGGCCGCGCCGCGCCGGCGTTGCTGTATTGGCGGTGCCGCTCGGCGATGGGCGACGTGCTGGCTTACGAGGCCGAGTTACTGGGACTGGTGAGAGAGGTTGGTGCCCTCTTCTGTTCTTCCCTTTCGCTGAAGCGAGCGGGGAGCGAGGCGCTCTGCCATCCGGCCGCGTGTTCGCTGCAGCCACGAGCGAGGCGGGCTGCTCTGTAGGTCCGGACGGCAGCGCTGCCCATCGGGTCTCCGGTCGCCCTGCCCCGAGCGCCCGCAGCGAGTGCTTTTGTCACCCAGGCAGCTGCTGTGGAGGGGCGGGCAGGAGCAGCTGCTGCGCTCGGCTTCGTGCGGGCTGTGCGCTGGAAGCCTAACGATTCTACCAAGCGGCAAAATAGTTTGAAGCCTAAATCACTTTTGGATCTCAGTATGCAAATCCAAAAACGGTTTTAAGAACTTGTTTATGTTAACGACGCAGGAAGCAAATTATTTCTCTTCCCTGTGGCCGTATTCAAGTTGGCAAGGTGAAATGCGACTTCTTGCCTCGTTAACCGCTGCCTGAGGCTCCCGAGGCGGGGAGGTGTGTGATGCGGTGCCTGCGCGTGCTGGGAGGAAGGCGGAAGGCCGCTGATCTCTTCTTCAGAACGGCACTCAGCTGGCCGTTGATTTGGGCTATGCAGCCTCGGATGTGAGTGGCTGGAATTGCCTCTGCTGTGTGCGAGTGCTGCTGTGAAGATGAGGATCAGGCTTAAGTATTCTGTCCCCTGAGGACGTTGTTTGTAACGAAGTTACTGCCTTGTTCATTCAGCCGAGGTGCTGCAGGAATTCGGTTCTTTTTCTTCTTTGAATGAAGCTACCATCTAAATTGGGGAGCGTAATTCTTTCAAAGTGGTTGTGTGTACTATTGTATAAGATGTAGAAGGTAATCTACCTGGGAAGCAGCATTTTCCCAGCACGTGAGACATGATTCTTAGTTTGTCCTCATGCAGACATTCAGCACTCAGGGACTGTGCTACTGAGAAACGTCAGAGGACTTTGGCAATTCATGGGCTGCTCTCTGAAGCATTAATAATCTAAAAATGATCATTTCTCTATGTTTTTATCTCGTAGTATTTGGATTTTGCTGAATTTGAAGAAACAGTGAAGGTATTTGCAAAGGAATGCAAAATAAAGGGGAAGTCACTACCTAAAACAGCAGATGTTTCTTTGAGAGATTCAAAAGCCATTCCTATTCAGGTAATGCATCACTTGCACTTATTCTGAGTAACACTCAAACCAGCCAAAGTTCACCTAGCACCATGTGAATTATTACGGCAGTGACGTTATGTGAAGTCTGAACCCATTCTTGTTTATTTTGGAGAAGGCTGCAAGCATTCTTCTTTTAGTGCAGGAAGCATTCAATTTTCTTTTTTGCAGAGCTCCAGTCCTTTTGAACCTGAGGCAGTAGGTTTGCACTATTTTAGCTTTTCAGATTGACGTACTTCAGCAAGGCTGATTTTCAGACACTGTAGGCATTCATTTTTCCATTATGGTAAAGATGAGTCCCCAGATAGATGCTTGAAAATTCATTGCTTCATGTAATGAAGGTTGATTCATGCTGTTGAAGAGATTAGAGACAGCTCGAGAAAGAATATTCAGCTGGTCACTGAGTGGTGGGAGGTTTAGGATAAAGTTTTAATTCAGAAACTTCAGGTGTCACTTAGATTTTTCATTTACAGTGGTTGAAAAATGTGGCACGTTTGTGTTTTGACTGAATGCTTTTGCCTTTTCAGAAAGATCTGCTCAGAGCATTTGACAATGGTGAGCAGAAGGCTTTCTTCCAGCTCTGGGAGGAGCACATTTCATCTTCAGTCCGGGACAATGAACCAGTTGCTCAGAAGCTGGAGTTCTATCTTCATGTACATTTTGCCACCTACCTCCTAAAGCACTCTGTGGGAAAGCCTGTAAGTTTATTTCACAGTCTGAACTTCAGATTGCTTTTGTTTTACTTGGTGTATTTGGCTTTGGTTTGGATGAAAATGGGATGCTTCTTAAGAAATCCCAGAATATGGATCCTGCTTTTGAGCAGTGGCCTGTGTTTTAGTCAAAAGCAGGTCCTGGTTTGTGAAGCAGAGAAACAGACATTGGAGGTGTCCTTATCTTGGAGCTCCTGAAATATTTTGACTTGGAAAATACCAATGTACTGTTACTTTCACACCTCTAACAAATTTAGGATAGGTCTGAATAGGATAGGAGTATACTTACTGGGGGTGCTGGCTTGAACGTGACGCCATGGAAGTTCATCATACAGCCTCTGGATCCAAGCTCACTCAGTTTCTCAACAGTAAGTCTACAGATAGCAGAGTTCACTGCAAGGCATAATAAAATATACTAGAAGAATTTTATTAATAAGGGTTATCAGTGGCTTTGAGAACAACTTTTTGTAATGTATGTCACTTCTAACAATTTCTGTTCTGAATTTAGTACAAGTCTAATTTTGAAGATCTTGAAATAAATTAAATATATATGGCAAGAAAAAAATTACCCCCTCTTGCATCTCATGCTGAATGTGGGTTTTGATTCAGTGATTTTTTTCTGTCTGTGTCGTTCCTGACACAGTGTGACTGGATCTTTTCAGCTGCAGTTATCACTGAAATGAAGCGTGTCTAAAGTCAGGTAGATAACTTCTCTCAGCCTGGAGCATGGAAGTGACACTGCTTTAAGTATCTGTCAAAAAGTGGGCAGGTATAATGGACATTCAAAAGGCAATTGTCCCTCTCTTGTTTTGTTACATTTACACGCTTTATAGTGCGTTCAGAATGGCAATCTAAATAAACGTGTGGCTTTCTGTCTTAGGACAAACTTGAACTTGAGGAAAGAATTTCTCGTTTTAAAGCGTACTTGGAAACAAAAGGAGCTGCCCTGAGCCAGACTACAGAGTTTCTTCCCTTCTATGCTTTGCCTTTTGTTCCCAACCCCATGGTGCATCCTTCATTTAAAGAACTTTTCCAGGTAAGTATGTAATTCGTTGAGATGATACTTCTGATGTTGATTTTTTTTCCCATGGGATGATAGATGTTGGATGACGTTTGATTTGGTAATTGCTTTTATTGTTTCCTTTTACTACAGCTGTACAATCATAAGAGAACGTGTATTTGATGGAGGAAGGGCTGTGAGGGTGCTATTGATAACAGAGTAAAATCTTAAATGAATTTTATCTTTGCTGGTGTGCTGGCTTTGTGTCTCTTCCTTCCCACACAATGCTGAAATATGCGAGCTTATGGGAATCACTACAGAGTGGTTCAGTTCCACTTCCATGCTTTGAAATTGTTGCCCAGGATACCCCACTATCTGTATACGTTTGGTTTCAAAACATGATAGCTAGGTATAAGGAAACTAACACAGTTTCATTCAGCTTCATTTAATGTGGAAAAGAGAAAGTCAAGTAGTTAAGTAATCTTCCCATAATAGAAATTGAGGATGTGATTCTTTTAATTTAGATAGCAAGTCAGTGTTCTCTGAGACATGCTTTTTCCTTCCCAAAATGCTGGAAAAGTGTAGCTTTTAGTGGTTTTTTTAGTGGTTTCATGACTGCTGCCATAGGCATTTTTCCTGGTTAATGTTTTTTTGTATGAATTGTTTTAGCCTTTGCCTTTGGCTGTGTCAGGGTTCACTTCTTAAGCAAGCACATGTGAGGTGGAATGAATGTAAAAGTTAGAGTGGTTGAACTTTAAAATATGTTTTCACCTCCAGGTGCACTTCTGTAAATCTCATAATGACAGATTGTTCCTCCCCTGATGAAGGGGTAACAAAACTCCCTCCCACTGACAGTGCTCTGGGCAGCACGTAGGGGGGTGGTTACAGATGTAGGGGGGTGGTTACAGATGTTGTCCAGGTGGTTATGAAGCAATGGCACTTCCCGCAGAGGATATTTTCCCCCATTCCACTAACTGGTGGCTTGTTTGTATAGTGAAAAATTGTGTTGACTTCTTATCTGTGCAGCAAACAGCTGGTTATGCTGTTGCACTTGAGCTGGATCAAGAAATTGAACTGCTTTGTTGCAGATGAATGTGTATGTAGAGCTCCCATGTGCATAGACATACACTTATCAGTAAAGCATGTGCAGTGTTTGGCAGGGTTATGTGCTTGTGTCTCAGTGCCCTCCCACTTGGGCAGTGGTGCTAGCTCACCTGGGGAGCTGTGTACAGTCCTGGTGGTGGGAGGGGATGTTCTTAGCCTGTATTTCAGCCACGTGCTTCTTGATGTCAAATCAAAGCCCAAGCAGTGCTTGCCTAGGGCTGACTTTGGACGTAGCAGCTGATGAGGAGCTCCAGTTTAGCACCAAAAAAGGCATGTACTGCAATTTTCCTTTGGGACTAGCTATAAATAATGAGGTGTGCTGGTTGACCTCCGAGTTGGGCAATGACTGCTCTTTTAATTACACTTAGCAGATTATTTTTTAATACCTTATCTAAGACAGGATCCTCTGGTTTATTCATAGTAACTCAGTATCCATCTCTTCGTCCACAGCCACTCATGTTTTCTTGTGGGAACTGTACAACTGGCTGTGTGACCGTGTGTTAGTGTGGAAGCACAGGCTGTTCTACATTTGAGAAAGAACAGCAGTGAGTCAATCCTCTACTAAGCAGTGTTCTTATGGCACCTTTCTTCTCAGACATCTCATGCTTTATGTAGCCAGAGTTCCTAACTGTTTGTTTAATATATCTTAAAAAATAATATACACTTCTTTCTGTAACAGACATGGTTCCTTTGGTAATATATGACATCCTGTAGTGTACCAGTGTCTTCTTACTGAATTGGTGAATGCAGCAAGGAAATACTGTATGCTGTCCAACGTGGTGAAATATGGGCGAGTTTGAGCTGCAAGAACGGCTTGCAATGGATACATATACAGCAGTAAATTAAGAAGCTCCTGCTACTTGTTGGATTGTACTGCTTTTTCACTTGTTGGAAGATACTTCCTTCTCATCTGTTGGCTTTAAATCTGTTTTAAACCAAGCAGAAACAGGCAGAACTAATGGTTTGAAATACAAGAAAAATGCGATTGGTGAATTCTTAGACACGATATTTTTGTTCCTTAACTCTTGTTTTCCTGTACTTAAGAGACACTACGTCAGACAGCATTCCATTGTGATTGATGTGTTGGTCTGTCTTTTCATGGGAGTTTTGTTGTTGGTTTTTTTTTTCCTCAAATCCATCTTGGAAATGTTGTGCAGTGTTCGCTGATGTCATGTGATGATGCTCCCAGTAGTTATGGGCAGGGAGTGAAGTCCCAGATCTTACTGGGAGTAAATGACGACTTCATTGCTTTCCTTTTGAGAACAGAAGAATGGGAAGTGGTTCATTTGGTACTTTATTTGAAAAAATGTGACACCACCTTTTTATCAAGTGCTTATATTTTAAAGATGCTTCTAGTTGAAAAACAGTTGTTGCATATGCAACAGTGATACTACATGTTAGTTTTAAACTTGAACTACAGCAAAGTCATAATTTTAGAAGTCTTGAAATAATATCAAATACACTTTGATGTACTTTTAGGAGTAGTTAGCTAACACATTTGGTTCAGTAACAGCAAAGGAGAATCTCACTGCAGTGTTGGCTGCCTTGTTTACTAGTGGAAGGTTGATGTGGTCCAAGCAGTACTTTCAGCAAAGTGTACATATTTGGTGAACAGCTGTCATCACTTGTTTTTATTTTGAAGGATTCTTGGACGTTGGATTTAAGGACAAGATTGGAAAAGTTCCTGTGTCTGACTCTCAAAGCCAGCCAGACTCCCAGGCTTCTCACTTTATTTGTATCCTTTTGAGAAAATACTTTGAAGATCATTAGAATTACTGTAAAGAGGCAGTGTGATTTATTGGGAGAATATGCTGGAAGATTTATTATGCAACTGCAGGAGCATTACAGTTCAATGTCTTTTATGGTAGGAAACATTGTTTATATTCCATATTCAAAAAAAACCTTTAAGAAAGTTATGTAAAGGCAGTATATGGGTGGATATGAAGCTACATGTTTCTCATGTGACCATTCCTTGTTTGCATGCATGGAGTACAGGCTATCCCAAACCTGACTCCTTTCTTTGTGTTTTTAAAGCACTCAGTCTTTTCAGTTAGCCATTTCAGGGACTAGCTGAGTATTTTCCAGGACTTTTAAGGGTTCCAGAGATTACTATTTTACTAAATGAGTTGTGTTTCAGGTTATTTTTCTTCTAATGACACTGTTTGAGCTGTGTTGTCAGACCTAAATCTGCAGACTGACTAGCTGTGTGACAAGATTACCTTCTCCATTTTTGGTCAGGAGAGTTGAGGGTAAGGCAGAGAGAACTGAACTGGAGTCTTTGTTTCTAGCTTTATTCTTTTCTAACAGGTAAAGGTTAAATCCTCATTCATGTACCCTGTCCTAAAACATCATGCAGAGTGGTACTGAGATGGAAATGTTATTCCTGTTCCATTCTTGTTTATTCCCCAGGATAAGGAGCAGTAATCAAAACAGTCTGCTTTCACTTCCATATCGCAGGGTGTGTGTGTGTGACACAGAACAGTTAGAGAAAATTGTCTCTCTCATTATTCCTCTTTATGGAGTAATGGGCTGGATCCCAACTGAACCCTATTTCTTTGGTATAAAAATTCATCACTTGGCCTACAACATTTGCATATTTATATGCTGATGTAATCAGCAGTTTGACTTTTGATGTTTATAGTTAATAGATTTAGTCTGGAGTTACCAGATCTTCAGAGTTGGATGTGGTATGTGTAAAGGCCAGCAAGAAGTCCCTATCTAACAATGAATGTTGTTCACTTAAGATTTGTATGTGTTTATTGATTCCTTTATTATTGCTTTTCTACAAAGCATTGTGCTTTGGCTGTTGTCTGGGTCTGTAGGAATCTCTGGTCTGGTTGGGTTTACCAGGTGGTTGGATTTCTTTGTGCAAGAGGAAGTGCCTTTTCCTGAACAGCTCCAACTCATACAACAGAAGGAGAATGGACAGTGCAATAAAGGTAAATGCTGAGATGTGATAAGGATATTATATATTATTAGGGGCTGTAATAGAAGTGGAAAGTAGGCCTACAGTAACAAGGAAGCTTTCAGATGCATGGCAGCAAATCCCTTGAAATCCACAGCCCTGTTTCAGTGCAAGTCTGTTGGAGGTCTGCATGGCTGAGCACAGGCATGTACTGGGCTGGGAGGGGCTAAGGATGGGATTTGTGTTTTATATCTGTTCTGTCCTGAAATAAAATTATGGTAAAAACAAATGCCTGCACAAAGTGCATGCCAGCTCTCTGTTTTTAGTTAGAATAAGCTTCCTCAGATTTGTTTCCAGCACCTGTTTATGCCTGTCTGCATGTTGTAGACTTCACATCTCAGCCAGTTCTCCTGTAGACTGTCAGACCTTCATAGAGAAAGTAGATTTTTGTCCCTTTTTGCTTATCTTGTTTAAGCTCTTAAAATAGTACAATTTGGTGCCTCCTAAGGATATCTTAATTTAACATCTTAATTTAAGCACGATTCTCTGATGTGTTTTTAGACAAGTTGCTCATGAACATTTATGTGACTCAATGAGGCGGGGTCCTCTAAGAATGGTATTTCAGCACAAAGTCCCATTAGATGCTGATGGCACTTGAAGTGCCTTTTAAAAATCAATAAATAGAATTTATGTTCCCAAGCCAATTCATTTTTTTTTTTTTTCATTCAACTTCCTTTGTTCAGTTTATTGGGAGGGATTTGTATGAGCCCAGTCTGTGTTCCTAAAATTACTCTTCCTATTAGGAAAAGCAGTTTTCCCTCAAGGATTTATCCTTTATAGATTGAATTAGAAAGAAAATGAGGTTCATCTCCCAGAGTGAGGTCCAGGTATTTTCTTTAATGTTGTGCTGTAGATTGCATTGGATTTTAACTGAGTAATCAAGAAATCTCTGCAGATCTTTTTTTTCCATACGTCACTTTTTTTCCCATTGTTGACTTCCCAAGGAGTTGAATTGAATCCACACAGCCTTAATTGGCAGCTCTGTTGTGTACCTTAATGTTTGGGTAGGTTTGGAGTTTTTGTAAAGGTTATCTGAGGCTTGTAGCATGTGAAAGTATGGGGTGTGAGAGGTTAGTTCTGCATTATGCTTCTCAGATAGCGTGGGATCTGCAGTGCAGACTCACCACTGGAGAATGTTTGTTTTTTCTGTGGAGGAGAAATGTACAAAATACTGGTAGGTGACAGATGAATGGAGAGCACTATGGTGAAAATTCCTTTAAACGGCCTGTAGTGAATAGTTGCCAGTCATTAATCTCGTGTGCTGAAGCACTTCAGGTTAGGGTGGGATGGTGCAGATTCTTTGGAGGGCGTCCTGGAGAGTTTTGTGTGTGCACCTTTCCTGTTCAACCTGCTGCAGTCTCTGGCTCTTTGCCTGTTTGCTACAAAACCCTGTAATAGCTTTATTTCTTCCAGGGCCGCTTGTGTGGTAGTTGTGCTGAACTTACAGCTCACCCTGATGTCTTCAGTTCAGCAGGGAGAGAACTGCAGAAAGGCTGACATCTAACGAGAGCTTCAGGCTTTCTGTGCATCCTTTGGGATGGAGGGAGTAGAGGGAAAGAAGGATTTGGAAAGTGCTCAGCTACTGTCCCCTCTGTTCCCTCATTACAAAGCTGTGCATGAGTTCACAGCTGATCTTCCACCATCTGGGGAGAAGTGGAGAATGAGAGAAGTGTGTTAGGCACAACGTGCCTCCATCAAGATTTACTGTATGCCAAATGACTGCTAACAAGGAAATATACCTGTTCCAAATATCAATTGTAATTTCTACAGAAATAAGGTGAGCTGCTAGGAGTTGAGGCAGCTCCTGCCTTTTCCTGAGGCAAAATATCTTGTGTCAGACACCAGGGCACCTCAACTGGCAGCAGCTGCAGGGCGCTGAAGCTCTGCTCTCTACTGCAAGCTCCACTGCATTGCACATGGGAGCTCAGCTTGGCCAGAATCTGCTTCTAGCAAAGGCTGTGAGGATAGGCAGATATTAGAGAGATGGGGAGAGCGAGCACAAGTTCAGGAAGCATGTTTGAGGCATAGGTGAATTGTCAGAGAGAATAACAACTGGTCTCTGGCTTTGAGAGAAAAGCTTGTTGTAGAATTATGTGTGTAACTCCTTGCTTATTTGTAGGATCTGGAGTTGTGATATTAAAAAGACTTGGCAAATGAATAGACACGATTACATACAAGTCAAGAAAACAGGTAGAAACGTGCAGAAGTTCAGAAGATGCCTAATCTTCATTTGGCAGTCAGTAGCTTTTCTGTGTGCTGTACCTTCCTACACCAGGAAGTCAGTCGTCTGTCCTTTATTAGCCTTCCTTTCCTCTTGCATATAAATAATGGTTATGGTAGGTCTTAGGTCTGAACCTTTCTTTATTCCTCTCTAAGCTTAGCTTATGGTAAGTTGGCAGTAGAAAGCGTTCATCTGTATTCAGAGAGGAAAAAAAGAAGGCAAATGTGTTGTGTGACTCTGTGACTCCTGTTACAAGTGCAGTTTGATCACTGCTGCAAGGTCACTTAGATGGAAAGATGCTTTCCATTCAGAAGTGACTCTGAAAAGCACCTTTCCTATTCTGACTCAGGTTGTGATTATTTCATATTTTAAGCTAGCAAGTAGACACTGTTTTTTACCTAGACTGTTAGCTTCCTATGCTGGTATTGATTATGGGAATATGACAGGAATGCAAGGAGAGAAAATGGGGCAACATAGGCCCAGCTCTTCCTGCAGCTGTCTGCACGTGGGTCAGTTCCATGCCCACAGTGAAAGCTTCCTGCCTCGTTAGTAAGAGAAACTTTCATGCAATACTTTGCCTTTTTTAGTAAAATTACTGTTTGAGAAGATAGTGATGTAAAAAATGCAAGATGTGTCATGACTTTTGATTCCTCTCCTTTGACTGCCTTTTCTCAGTAAAGGCCCCTGTTTATAATTGATAATCCCTGGATTTAACAGACCAGGGGTATGTTGGACCTGATTCTTAACATTTGTGAGTTATACTGAGTTTAGTGTATGTAGTTATACTCCCTGTAGTTGAAAGGCAGATTTTCATCACTGGAAATCATCCATATGAAAATTAAGAAAATGTACATTCTCTGTATTATTATCTCTGTATTCTGTGCATTATTTTAAGACTGTAAATTTATAGCAAAGCTTTTTAGTTTATTAATGCACTTTTTTCTCTAAAGTTCTTCTCTCCCGTTGAAAAGTTCATCTTGCTTAATTTTCTGAGGGTAAAATAAGCTGTTCTGCCATCTATTGATTTTCATGTAGATGGGATAAAAGCAGCTTATTTCCTAAACCCTAACAATCCAGAAGACAAGATTTTAAAGCAATTTCCAACATCAGAATTCATAAAGCTATCTAATGATGTATCTTTTTCATTTATAATGCGAGTCTTGTGGGCAGTTCTATTTGAGCAGTATTTTTGGCAGTTTTGTCTCCTAAGTCCATATGTCCATTGCAACTCTACTTTCTGTAGAGTTACTGAGCAGACATTTGTACATAATTAGTGTATCTCTGCCTGCAGAATAGCTTGATTATCATAATAGAAGACAGCTTGAGAAGGCTCTGCAAGATAGCCATGGTGCTGATCCACCACTCTGCATTCCTCCCTCTGCTGATGATGGCCATCTGTGTGCTAGCCATTGTGGAACAAAGCAGAGGTTTGTGCCTGAATTCAGAGAGCAGGGCTGTTCTGTTTGTAAATAAGTATGCATACATTCTCCACGTTTTGTCTGTCATAGCTGCAAGGTATTCAGCTTAGTGTTTTATTTTTAAACACAGAGCATTAATCGTGCTGTGGAACTCTATACTGCTGTAGGATTCTTCAGGTGAAGATCCCAAAGTTTCCTATGTGCATCAGTTACGTTTCTCAGCAGGAAGGTTTGCCCTTTATCTTTACAGAAAGAATGGTTCAGAGCCAAGAAGAGAAATTAGTTGTCTCTTCAGAGCACTGAATAAAAATGCTTCTGAGTTCTTTTGCTGCTAATGGTGATGTTATTTCCTCTTTATTATTATTTGACAGAAACATTGCAACATCTCCATCAACAATTAGTGGAGTCAGAGCACAGGACCATGATCTACCTGAAGCGGTTTAACAAAATGCAAGCAGACTACCATAATCTCATTGGAGTCACTGCAGAGCTTGTGGATTCCTTGGAGGCCACAGTCAATGGCAAAATGGTGAGAGCTGACTCAGAGATCTATTTGCTTCACTGCTAAGCTGAACTTGTTAATTTAATTGGTGAAGTGAATGGACATGAGAGGTGAAAGAGTTATTCACGGTACCACATGGGCCACACATACATGTGACTGGAGAAGTTACAGCTTTCTTTTGGGTATTTTTTTATACAAAGATGATTTTATGCTTCATCTTTTGTGCAAGAATACCTCTGTACTTTAAGTTCAGGATTCTTGTGACAGACACTGAGGAGGATTCTTGTGACAGCTTCTAGATGCTTTTAAGGGAGCTGTGAGTTGTTAGCAGGAAGAATGACCTTGGAGTTCCTGTGCTCTTGCTGAAATGTCTCTATGTACTTCCTCTCATCAGCTGAAGGTGTCGTTTGATCCTTCCCAAACGTCTCCAGCTGATGGTGCTCTTTCTTTGTATTCTTGGTTTCTGTCACTTCTGAGTCCAGAATGGAGTTGAACACTGAGTAAAATAACGCTGAAATTACAGCATTATGAATTTGAAGGGTTTTATTTTCTTGCTATATGTCTATGAATATCAGAAGTGTCTCAATTTCCTTTCCTATAATCTCTCTCATATGTTCTGGACAGCAGATAACTATTCTGCAGTTAAGCAGTTATCCAGTGGTATAGATTTACCAAAACAAAAAACCTAAACCCACTTAGATGCAGTACAGAACTTTGCTTCATAGTGAAACATAACTTATGTTTATTCCCTCTTCTGTAAAACTGTGACTTAAGTTCTGCTCTTTAGGTAGGTAACATTTCCATAAATTGTTGCTTTTGTGAAAAATTGAAAGGTGTTTCTCACTATTGGAGAGCTCACCTCTTGATTGAGGAGAACTTGTATGCAAGCACTGGTGTGACAAATTTAGTTTTTCTCTAAATTCTGAAAGTGCTTAATGCAAGTTCTGGAAGGCCTAACTTATTTCCTATTGAAGAGACTTTATAATTCTCTTAATTTCTGAACCAAACAGTAATTTCAGTACGTACCTTGCTCTTGCATTGATGAGTCTCGAATGTGTGAATTCTGACCTTCAAAAAATCCCTTTTACACAAAGACTTGTCTGGTAGAAAGTGTAAGTTTTATACAATCTTGTTCTGTTGTTATGTTTCCTGATTTGTAGATCACACCAGAATATCTTCAAAGTGTTTGTGTTCGCCTGTTTAGCAATCAGATGAGACAAAGTGTAGCACAAAGTATTGACTTTACAAGGCCTGGAACGGTAAGTGGTGGACTTTACTGGGTTTTTGTGGTTAGCTTGTTGTGTTTTTGGCTTTTTTTTCCCCCCACGGTAGTTAAGTACCACCAGGGGGGAAATATGTGTATTGCATTGTATATTTGAATTCATGAAAGGTGAAACATAACGTGTTCAAGTTTGCGTAAAAATATGGCATAAGATTTTGTTGATCTTCCATGCTGGTGAGTGACAGTTATGCCACAAGTGTGTAGCTATGAATTCTGCTGTTATGACAACACAGTGGAGTGTGTACGTGCTAAAGATGCTAACTGAATGTTAAAAAAAATAAACTGGTGTCCTAAGCATGGTTTGATGGCATATCTTAAGCAATTTCAATTTAGCTAAGTAGTGGTACTCTCTTCCTTCTGCTGTGAGGGACTCCCCTAAAACCCCAGAGCAAATTGGGATTGCCATCTAAAGAAGGAGCATCAGGCAGAATAATGAGAACACATGAGGAAAAGCAGCAAAAGAGAGGACTGTGTTTTTGTAAGAAATAGTTTTTAGAAGGCTAATCTAAGCCACCTTGTTGACTTACACGACGGGCTTAGCTCCATATCTGAAGATCTTTGATCTTACCAATAAGCAGATCAGGATGCCTGGGTTTTTTCCTTCCTTCTCCATTCACATACCCTTCCTTCATTGTTAATGGTCAGAACTCACATCTTGCACTGGCAGTGTGTTTAGGTGATGCACTCTTAGCAAACTGCTTTTCCAGGGGTTTGGGAAGGAGCCAGGATTTGTCAGCTACCTCAGCCTTAGGGACTGTATGTAATTCTTCTCTTCTCAGATAAACGCCGTATCCTTGGTGCATGGTTATACCATCTTCTGTGCATTATTGTAACCTCCATCTCCCAGTTTTTGTTCTGAAAAAAAAACAATTTTCTGAGGTTTTCCAACTTTCCCTGTCAGCAGCTTTCCAAGATAATGTTTCCTGTATCCCATTCATCTGCATATTGCCACCTGGTGCAGCCATGTGCCTTCTTCTCTAAGTTCCTGCTTTTTTGCTTGTTTCAAGATTCTCCCTTCTGCACTTTCAAGTTGCTTCTTTGTGTAATGAGATGACCTTCTGATCTCTTGAGCCCTTTTGTGGGCACAGGGAAAATTGTCTTCCCTATGGAAGCTGATGATTTCTCTTTTCATCCACTGCAGGGCACATGGAAGTGACTGAAGCTGAATGGAGTACATTTGTCTTTTTGTTCCCCATCACATGGATGGGGAAACACATCAAAGAATAATGCTACTTTTAGCAAAAACATCTTTCCTTCTGCAGCCCTGTAGCATTTAGGTTTAGACATCTGTTTCATTCTCTGTGGAAAAAAGTCCATTAGAAGTTTAAGATCAATAAATGATCATTGAAGAAGTAGGTAAGCAACAGTTGATGAACACGGAGTGTCAGGCAGAACCTCTGTCACTATTTCAAAATAGGCAAACAGATTTTCCAGAAATAGTTGACACTTGGCTGCTTCTCCAGGACAGGTTAGATGACTGTTCAGAATCTCTTTCAACCATTCTTCATCTCTTTCCTTCTACTAACCAGTGTTGAAATGATTGACAGCCTTATGCATCATGTTTGTTTGCTCCTGCTTCTCTAAAAGTGTCTCTGAAAGCTTTTCTACTCTGGAAATGCATTTATTGCTGTACTTAGGCCAACATGGCAATTTTAATGTAATTTCCTGCTATGTAGACAGGTCAGAGAAAGAAGTTTTGATGGGGGTGGGTTTTCTGCTCACCTGAAAGTAAACTTTGCCTCCTTTTTATCCCAAATTAGCTGGTTAAGCTGAGTAAAGCTGTCTTCTTTTGGCACTGTTGAGTATTTCTGTACTAGATTTTACTAGCATAACTATTTCAGTGCATCTTAGTGGTCCCCTACCCACACTACTTGAGGCAGTTGTTGTATCATCAGAGTTCTCTAGGGAAAGACCAGGACAACTATAGCACTGAGTCTGTTTAGATTAAGGGTTTCTCAACTGGTTCAGGTCACTCCTTAACAGTGAGGTTATAGTAGCTCCTGTGGTTGAAATTTAAATGTTGTTTCTATAAGCAGACTCATACTGAAGTGGTCTGAGCCATTAGCCAAGTTGTAGGGACAGGACTGATCACAGTCTTCATGTAGAACTTAACTGCATAATAACCAGGTTCCTCCATCTTGTCCTTTTATCCTACTTGATAATACTTTCTTGTTTATTTCCCATGTGAATAGTTCTCTTTCCGTACATGAACAGCAAACATGCAGAAACACAAGTAATTATGATAAATATATATAGCCCCAAAATACTTCTAAGCACTCCCTGCCTCTGTTGATCCACGAAGCCGGATGGGACGGACTGAAAGCTTGATCTGTTTGCCACTGGGTCACTAAGGCATCCCATTACTTTTTAATTAGGGGTTCCAAATGCTTCCTTGTTACATACTTAGATGTTATTGTTCCAAAACTTCAGTGGTTTCACATAAGTTTTGAAATAAGACTGGAGCCATCATGACCCAGACAACGTAGTAGCATGAGTGCAGCATCTGTGCTGGATTTGTGTTGGAAGATGCCATCACTTTTTGCTTATAATTAATTAGAGGCACTGAAGTGTGGTCTTTCCAGCTATTCCATCTCACAGAACCCCTATTGCTATGAAGTGATAGTCATCTGTATAACTGCAGAAGGAATAGACTAGTAAGAGAGGCAGCTCCTTTTCTCATCCTTGCCATTAGGTTCACTGTATTGGCAAAATGTAGGGGAGGCTAGATGTGCAATATGTAGTTTGGAGAGAAGGGATGGTTGTGTTCACTCAGCTGCGCTGGCACAACCTGGGACAGTGCAAGTTTGGGAGCAGGTGCTGAGAGCAGAGCTGCTCTGAGGAATGTGTACATAGTTATGCCTTAGCCGTGTAGTGAGTATTTTAAAGGCAATTAGGAGGTGACGCCTCAGTTTTAATTTGCTTTGTTTTTAATGTCTGCCTTTGAGGTATATCATGCACAGATATACTTAGAAACTGTTTTTAGGAGGGAAAGAATCTGCTTTGCTTTTCAGGCAAGCAGGCATTCTGCACTCATGTTGAAATTAAAGGTCTGCCACTTAGTGCGCAGCTGACATTCTCTTTCTAACAGGTTGTAGCATCATACTGTGAGATGTGTGCTTAGACTTTACAGTATTTTGTTGGATCAGCTGCAGCACACTGGTAGCTTCAGGATACACTGGGAAGTAGGACTGTACCTGTGCTGTAATCAAAATGAAGTACTGCCCAAGGAAACTAAAGAGTGGGCCTTGGATTATATCCTTGGTAGCATTACTTATCTGTAAAATTTATTTTGTTCCCAGTGCATTGTACTTGGTGAACAATTTGTCATATCTGAGGGTAAAGGTGGGACGTGACACTGAGAAGTGGCATTGTGTGATACAAAGCCATGCATGACGTCTCAGGCTCAGAAAGTACAGTAAAGATAGCATGTATATATCACTTACCAATGTGTGCTGTTCCTGTACAAACATCAGCTTCCTGCTTTGTCTCCTGTCACTAGAGGCCTGTCTGTCACTTCGTACAGCCATAACTTCACATCAGGAGAACAAATCCCAGCACCAGTCTTTCATAGAGAACTGGCTTCAAGACTTGAGACAGTAATGTTTCTCAAGCAAGAGACTTTCTCAGTGTAAGCATTTCCATGAAATCTTACTCAGTAAGGGTGGCTGGTGATGGCTGTTGCTTTGGGCTCTCCCATAAACAGGTTTGAATCTCGTTCTTCTGCCAAGCAACTGAATGCTGCTTGCCAGCTCTGCAGCCTCATGGGGCAGCTGGTGAGCCTGATCTGCAGCCCAGTGACAGGATGCATCTGCTGCATGCAGATAGAGGGATAGTGGCCACGGTACACTGTTACAGGTGGAGACTTTTCTAAGGCTTCTGTAAGGCCTTACTTTATCATAAGGCTTTTTTGAAGGCTATCCCCATCTTTGATCATGTCACTTGACGTGTGTGCTCCTGTACTGGAAGATAGGAAGGCCAAGAGAGCTGTTGGAGCAAAAAATGTCTGGATTTAAGAACAGGAGGTCAGAGCACCCGTTCTGACAAGTTGAGGCAACAGTCATCTGAAAATTTAATCAGATTTCTAACTTTATAATGTTTGGGCAAGGAAATAATATGAGTAATAGCAGATAAGTTTGAGATTAATTCTTTTAAGCATTTATTTAACACTTTCCCTTTTATTTGTAATATGCTTGAGTTAACTCTACACTTCTATTTTTCTTTTAATATTGATTTGTCTGGTGAGTGAGAAACATGGATTGTAGTCTTTTGTTGCAGCTGTGTCGGTTTAATTCACAGCATGAAGCCTAGCAGTAAAGAGAAAGAAACTAGCTTGGATTTGATCTTCTGTCCTGATCCAATGTAGCTGTTAAGCATGAGTTCAGTCTTAAACCCATGCATAGATTTTTCCAATTCACGTACAGTGCACACCATCCTGAAATTTCTTGGATTAGGGCTAATGTAATAAGAATCTCTGAACTTTGGATTGAAGGGGAAACTGGGAGTACTTTCCTAGATGTGCAGTCTCCATCAATAGTCAAGATGAGTCCTACCCACTGAAAGAGGTTCCGTGATTAGAAAGATTTGTAGCTGATTGCATATGTTGTTCCTCTGTCATGGAATAGAATTAATGCCCATTATGTTTTTGCTGCTGTTCAGTCTGATTATATTTGCCTGTGGATCTAATTAGCTGAATTCATCTCCGTATGAAGTTCTGAGTGTCTAAGTTTTTCTTAGGATGAAGTATGTATTTATTTTCTGTCCCTGTCCATGGGATGATTCTTATATGTTGTTGCTTATGCATGAGAAGAAACAAACCTGCCTTTAAATGAGAACAAAGAGAAGTTTTTTTCCTCTGCTGACACAGTACATGATGCCTTCCTCAATGTAACTGCCAGCTGCCACAACTTGGGCATCTTCTTTGCTTCACTTGTTGAATTCCTCATCTCTAAAGTAAGGTGCTGTCACTTGTGGGGATTTCCACAAACTTTTCCCACTGTCATCCTCAAATCCTCTAGTATCATCTTTGTCCTGATGCTGTGGACATTTTCATTGACTCGGTCATGTATTTGGTGAAATGTCATCTCATCACACCAGAGGTCATCTCCTGGTTTCTGTTGCTCTCTCATTGTGTTCTACCTCTGTTGTGCTAAATTTAATTTTAAATTGTCTTAGCCAGGAACTCTGTGTGTGTGTGTGTGTGTGTGTGTGTGTGTGTGTAAGAGTTAAAATATTCATTCACTTCAGGGAATTCAACTGTTCTTTTTATATATTAACCTGTTCTGGGTTAAATCAGTTAAATATATTACTCTCAGTAAAGAGAACGTGGCATGTTTATACTAAACTACTCAAACCGTGATTCACGTCTGATTTTTTACCTTAGTAACTCAAATGTAGGTTTCCTTTTGGAGTCTTTTCCTTAATGTAGGCTTGGAACCTTTGGGATGGGGAATAGATAACATTCCAGAAACACCTCGCATTGTTTCTCCCAGCTTTTGTTAAGTGATAGTGAGAAATTTCAGCCAAAGCAAGTATGGATAAAATTCAGAGCTGCTTTCTCATAAGCTGAGGCCTTCTGATAGAAAACCACATCCATTGAGACTTATCTCTTTAGCTGCTTCAGCGTAGTGAACAATAGAATTTGTAGATCCACAGCAGTGTGTCAGTGCTTGGTATATAGCTCTTCTAACCAACAGTGATGACGGAGTAACATGCAAACTGGGTACGTTCACCAGGTATTGGAAGGAGAACATGAACGTGTCCTAAGTGATGCACTCTGATTTCAGTCTTAAAACACCCAGGTTTGTGGAATGGGAGAAGAAGGTGCTTATACTTTCCCCTACAGAGCTAATAGTCTGTTAATTCTTAGCTAATTTTAGGTTTTTTTAATTGCTTTTTTTAAGGACTGTGCATTTCTCTGTGATTTATTTCTGTTAACTTGTTTTTTTTAATCTTCTTTATTTTAATGTGTGCCTGTTTGCCCATAAAGGGACATTACTCTATGAGCCCTTGTGATGACGGATATGTAAGTGTCTCTATCTTTATATCCTTTCACATTGCCTGCTGCAATCTGTCGCTGTTTGTATCTCTACATTTCACAGCGTGTAACCATTTTCTGTGTATTTTAACCCATCATTACATTAATTGTATGGTTTATATCCGCTGAAAATATGTGCAAGGCTTGGTATCTATGCATGGAGAACAGAAGTTCTCGGTAACCTTATGGCTTTGTAATATGTGTAACACAGCATGCCAACAAAAGATCAGCTTTGTCCACAACTTTTACGTGAAACACAGCTTCTTTATAACGTACAGAAAGGAATTGTTTCTTCCATGTGAACGTCAGTGTATATGATGTGAGGTCTTTGAAGTGTGCCAACGCCATCTGATCCCGCAACACCTTTGAGTAAACAGGTCGATGGATGTTAGTGCTTGAGATAACACAGCTTATCAGAGGTGTGTCTTATTTTATGTGTTTGTAGTTTTGATTTGTAAAGTGTGACTTTGCAGTTGGAGATGATAATTTTTTTTCCGTGCAATTAAAATGGCCCCTTTTCATTAGAAACCAAAGAAGCAAAAGTATTCTGTGTACTGCCTGCGACTTCTGTAACCCAGATGGAGGTTTGTATTCTGGCAATATTACAAGTAAGCCATAAGAATCTAATTCTGCCCATACTCAGTGCATTCTTTGCAAAGAGAGGAAATTAGTCCAATTCTAAGCAAGTCAATATGTAATCAAATCGTAAAGGTGATTGACACCAATTCTAAAAAAATGTCAGTCAATTTTCTGCTTTAAAATCACCTACATTTGTTGGTTTTTTTTTTGGTTTTTTTTGTTTTTTTTAAATTTATTTGAGTAAAACAAGATCTGACCTTCCCAGGAACGCTGTCCTTTATTTCAAATGTTCTTCACTTCCCACTTTAATGCCGTTTTGTTTGAAGAAATAATCACTGTATGCAACAGACTATTCCTTATGTGCTTCTTTTTGTTTGACATATAGAATACATGTTCATCTGTGTTAAAAGAGACCTGTATCGAGCAACCTGGTGCTGCAGGTGTGAGAGGTGCTACTGGCCACCCTTTGCTGGGTGCTCGCCGTTCTGTTTTCTTTCATCATGATCTGTTTCGAGATTGAGAAAACCTGTTTACAGATGTGAGGACTCAAAATGATCTTTGCTAAAGAAAAGTTCTGCCTTTATACGAGTAGCCTTAGTACCTTTATACAATAAACTTATACAACTTATTATAACTTTATACAATGCAGAATGTACTCTCTTGCAATGCAGAGTTGTTTATAATTTTTTTAAGCTGTCTGACGCTAATTCCAGGGTATTTCTTGAATAGATAGATTGGTTTCCTCTAACATCTCCTTACTGTTTACATATAGCATTATTTTTCTGTCATCTGTTGTCATTACATTGTCACATAGTATTACAGTGTGACTTTTTTATGCACGCTTCACATCTCTTGGAGAAGCTATTTTGTATGCCAAGTAGGAAGTTTTCATAACAGCGTATCTCTGGTATAAGTAAGGAGAAGAAATAATTTAAAACATTTGCAGATCTTATGAAATAAATCTGCATGACCCCAGTAGAGACCTGCCAGCTTACACAAGCTCAGTGCCTGACCAGTGCTAAGCTGCATGCAGCAGTCTTCCTGTCATCAGTGCGTAACAAATGAGCTGAACATTCATTGGTGATTTCTAATGATACATACACCTTAACTGAAACTTTGTTTTTACTCTTCACACATTCATCGCATATCTTTGATTATCGATTCTGAATCTGCATTGCATTTACAGTGAATCCTTATAGCATGTTTTCAGAGTGGTAACTGAGGTCAGAACCTGGTTTTTAGCTTTAGCCTTCAGCACATTACTAATACACACATCGAATAGTTAAATGGAGTTGGTTTGAATACGGGACTGCAGCATTTGATAAGCTCAGTTGTGGTTTTGGCTTGCATATGAAATGCATCTGTTTTCTTTTATAAATATTGATATAATATTTTTCCCTTTGAACTTCTTTATTTTATTCCATGCTGTTCATATTCAAGCATCGCTTCTTTCAAAAATGACGGGCTGCCATCTGTGCCTAATCTGCACTGTGACAGAGTTGCTTTGCTTAATATGGCACCTGGTTTGGCTTTGGTAAGAAACATCACAACGATAAGTCATACCTTGTGATCCTACCAGAATGAGCTATGCTTGGGCTGTTGTCTTGTTTGTTTCTATTCTTTCCTTAAGACACCTGGTTTCTGCATGTGTTTAATTATGGAAAAATGGTTCTGCATTATGGTTTTGCATGAAAAGTATTTTGCTTGAAATTAAATCCGTTGATGTTGGGTATTGCACATAAGTCACACATACTGTATGTTCTTCATGATCATTCCCTGACCAGCACTTGACAGAATAGTGTTAGGCAGCAGGTTGGATAAATATTTAACCTGATAAGACCAGGAAAAGGGCTTGGGAGGAAATACTAAGTTTAAAATATCTCTTGACAACGAATCATTTTAATCTGAGAAACTGCTAATAAAGAAGAGCTATGAAAGCTTGGTTGATGTGGGCATTGTCTGGAGATGAGTGTTGGATGCAGATTGAGGAAGGTCTCTTTTCACAGTGCCGTTGGCTGCTTGAGTTTCAGTCTGTGGCCTTGGATTCATCACCTAGAAATGAAGATTGTAATGGTTTGACTAGCCTTGGAGAATAGTAGGAATTTATTTCTGGTGGAGTGCTTTCACAGCTATGAATGCAAAGTGCTGATGGCTTCACTTTATCTTGTGCAATTATTTAAAGCAGTTGTTATAAAAAAAATCCAAGTTTCCTGCACCCAAATACTCTCCCCACCTACTCTCTCCCTCTTGCTTTCTCTCTCAGGAACACAATGCAGTTAGAATTTGGACACTGTTGCCACAGAAGTGACAAGATATGAGGGTTCAGCATTTAGATTTAAGAACTAACAACAAGAAAGAGAGTAAAAGGTTTGTGAGGATCAAAAACCAGGATTCTGTTCTGGTTGAATGCCAGCTTTCATTAGAGAAGGCAACCCGAACTCTTATCAGTTGAGACAAAAATTAAGTTTTTTCCTCATCTAAATGTGACCCTTAGTTCCTAAAAATTTAGAAGACTTCATGTTTTCACATTGATCTACAACACGAAAACCTGTTTTTAAAAGCTTTCGGTTAAAGATTTGCAAAGAACTTAAACAAAAGGAGTTTTGTTGTTGAATTTGTAACAGGGTGGATTTTTGTTGCTGGGAATCTCTTGCTTTTGCTTTCTGTAGTAGGGATGTGTTGAGAAGATGAAGGCTGCACTGACACTCCTGCCAGCAATAGTATGTATGAGAGCTTGGCCTTGGAGCTGCTCTGTACTGGTGAAGAGATGTCTTTTTTTTTATGCTGGCCAGGTTATATGGCTTCGTTGTGTTAAAAGTGCTCTTGCTTTAATTAAATCCAGGAGCTGCTCTGCAGGACCCAGCTGTGTCTGAGGTGTGATTTTCCTTTTAATAAATGTAATGCTCAAGTCAAGAAGTAGAACTTAACAGAGCTTTTGAGGATTAGATGGTGTCATGGTGCTTAACCAGGTAAATATCCTGAGATTCGGGATGTCTCTGATCAGTACCAGAGAAGTGAAACAGATATGAGCAAGGAAAATAAATAAATAAATAAATAAACCTGCCTTGTGAATTGTGGAAGATGTGTGGCTGAGGAGCACATGCTTTGGTGGGCAGCCTGGAGGGAAATGTGTGGTGGACGTGTGCCCTGCCTCTCCCATAGTGGTACAAGGTGTTTTGTGAGGTGGGGAAGAGCACCCTGCTTGAGGAGCAGGAGTTAAAGTGAAGTGTTAGAATGGTGCATTGGCTGTAGGTGGAGAGCCCATGGTGCTGACTTCTCAGAGATACCTCCACTGCTTGTCCCAAAGTGGTACAGATCCCAGAATCATTGCCCTGCAAACGCCAGGAGAGCAACTGGATGGCGGAACTCCCAGAACAGACCAGAAAGCAATTCCTCTTGTCATACAACTCCTTGAAATGCAGGCCTACGTAAATCCCAAGACTAGGAAATAGTGGAGTTGTCACTATACTATATCAGCTGTTGCTATTTTGTAGAATTTTTCTGTGTCATAATCACAGAATGATTAAGGTTGGAAGAGACCACTGGGATCATCTAGTCCAGCTGTAATCAAATACTCATTTTCTTGTTTTCCTTTTTGTGGTGTTTGTGCCACAAATGTTCGGTTGTTTAATTGCAAAACAATAGTTTGTAGCACTTGCATGCTGTCTCTCATTGGTGGATCTCAAAGAAGAGCTTACTAGAGAGTCTGATGCCTGTGTCCTTGCTTTCTGGATAAGAATATCGGGGCCCAGGGATAGGAAATCACACACTAAAATATTGGCTGCTTTTGATGGCTGAGTCAGAGCTAGACACATGTCTCCAGCTATTTCTTATGCAGTTTGCCATACTGTAAGGATATAGATTAGCTTACTTATGTCTAATTCCAGTCGTGTAAAGGCAGATGAAGAAAGGGGATCTCTGCCTGTAATGTGGTTGCATTATCTCTGCTTACCAGTGGTGCTGCACATGGTCAGTCAGGTTGAATGAAGGACAAGCCAGCCCTGAGAATCCTCCTGTCTGCTTTGCCTCATCGAACCTGAAGTAACACAGACCATGTCCAGATTGCTTCCCAGTGACACCAAAAGGCTGAGAAAGCCTTCACCATGTGCAGGTTCTAGGCTGATGCTCTTGGGCCTGAAATGCTAAGAAAAATAAATGCAAATAAATGAGGGGAAAACAATTTAAATATGTATATGATATTTTGAAAGATTTCTCTGCTGGTTGAGAAAGATTGTTATGTGAGGAGTGCTGTCAAGACAGGTTAATTCTGAAGTGCGTAACCTGTTAATTATCTATTGTAAACCAGTCATTCATTGACTTAAACATAGCATGAAATGCTTCCTAATGTGAGTATAAGCTTATTTCACATGTGAGAGGGCAGTTCCTTCTATTACGAGGAATACCCGCGAGCTTTGTGAAATCCAGCACGTTCAAGAAGACGTCAGCTGGTGTAACTCAGTATTCTCTGTGGCATTGCATGCCTTTTGTCTGCTAAATCCCTCCGTTTTAAATCTGACAATAGACATTGATTATATAGCTCCCGTTGAAAGAGGCTAGGTTAGAAGAGGAGGTGGGTTTTGCAGTCATAAATGGTAATGAGACACTGCATAGAAAGTGAGTAGTGAGACCGGCACAAAAGGTGACACAGAATATTCTGTGAACATGGAGTGTAGTTGACATTGAAATGCATAATATGAAGCACAGTTAGTGCTAGCTAAAGAAATATTTATTAAACAAGACATCTTTTATATGGTGTTGACATCTTTAAGCTTTGGCTTGTGCAGCAATGGTGCCTTCCTTTGCTTTGAGTCACGCTGCAGCAAAGCAGAAATATCCAGGCTTAAATGGAGCTTATCCTAGGCAGAACCTCTGAGAAATGGCATGCTGTCCCACATCCCTTCTGTCTGCACTAGGCTTTTCTTTGCACATTTATAGCTGTGTATGTAGGTATATTTTAATAGCAGCAGGAAGTCTTGAGACAATTGGTATTGAAGCTGCATTTGGGTGCTGAAATGCATGGTATGTCTCCACTGGGAAATTATTGCACTGTTAAGGTATTAACGTTTTTGAAGTCAAGAGACAATGAAAAAGGTTTTCGTCTTCCTCAGGATTTCAGAGTATTTTCTCCTCTCTCCCTTTTCTGCATTTCTGAATGTTTGAAGTGAGTTTTTGGAGTATGTCAGTGCAGACAGCACAGATCATAACAAAGGGGATTTTTCCTTTTTAACTACTTTAAAGGAAAGAGAAATATTGAAGTCCTTTGTTTTTCTAGCTGTGTTTCTAAATAGCAACATAGGTTTTATATGAAAGGAACTGCAGAACCTCAGTGAGAAAAAGCACTGTGAACCTCAATAATAGTTCCAGTGTGAAATTTGGACTCATCTGTTACAATTTCCTTTTTCTCTCTGATCCAGGCTTCCACAATGTTAAGAGCATCTTTGGCACCTGTGTAAGTATTGCTGAGCTGCATTTATATCTGTAAAGAACAGGAGGAGGGATTGGTAAACCTAAGTGCCCTGCCTGGCATTTGCAAATGGAATCGATCTGCATGCTTCCTCTCAGTGATCTCAGTGAGCATTGCATGCAAGCACTGTGTGCTTGGATTCTTCTCTTGGGCAGGTTCAATAACATCCTCGTTTCAGCAGGATGTTGCTAATCCAACAAATCTGTCACTCCACACCTGGGAGCTGTTTGCTCTATTTTCTTTACTGTTTCCGCACCATACATTCCTATTGTTGGAATTGATTTGCTTCTCACAAATCAAGGGAAAAGAGGAATTGGTAAGGTGTTTTTTTGTGTACTTCAGGATTTTTTTTGATGCTGAACTTAGGAAATTTTGGCTTATCAGTAGGATAGAGATGATGTGACTGAGGTGAGAGATTTTTAAGATGCTCAGACCATCAGCTGGCTAATTGTTTAATGTCTGCAAATTGTGATGACAAGTGAACTGCATCTGTGGTGGAAGAAAACCCAAGTTCAAGACGACGTCTTAAGTTGTTTATTCTAATGTGGTAACAGTAATAAAAATAATAAATGTGTAAAAATGTGGAGACCCTTTTCCTGGAGTAAAGTTCCTGTTCTGGCTCTTGACACCTCAGTGATATCATCTGCACCAAATAAGGAGTTTGGATGAACATCAAAATTCAATATATTTCCTGTTTGCATTGTAGGAAGAAGCAGGATGTGCCCTTGTTGCCCTCTTTGGACTATGAGAAGCTGAAGAAAGATTTGCTTACAGGGAACGATCGTCTCAAGGCCTTCTTACTGCAGGCTCTGCGCTGGGTGAGTAGGATGGCCTCTGTAGAAATAAACCAGTCTCTTCTGGGGGGGTTTAGAACTAAAATCCGTCTTGTGGGCAAGGTGATTGTTCTGGTGGTCATTATTATAGGCAGCATTTGTCTTTGTCAGTGAATCTTGCTGATGGGCTTGAGATGATGAGGGAAGCTCTGGCAGTAGATGGATGTTTGTGGCAGTGCCCTCTCTCTTTGAGAAAAGCTGGATAGGAATTCCTGGGATCTTCAGTGGAAGTTGTTTCTGATGGTTTTCAAAGAAATAGCTGCTGCCTAAAACAACGTTTTTGATGTGTTGCCCTGCTCAGATTCATTTAAATACTGCTGTATCAAAGAACTACCTGATTCTAACTAGTACTTTTCCTTTGTAGTGAAGGTGTTCTACAGGAGCCTACCATTTTGATTGACTCAGATAATTTCATAATATTTTTGAAAAACTAAAGGTGACAACAGGAAGCTTAATTTTCCTGCTGAAAAGGAAGCTGACACTTTTGCTGTGAAAGATGATAATAGTGAAATTCTGGTCAAGCTTCAATGTCTGTTTTCACGTATCAAATAAAAAAGCAACGCCTCCTGGTCAGACCAGTGGTCCCTCTAACCCACTACTCTGAGGTGTTTTAGAAAAGCACCATATCTGTAGCTATTGAAAGAGCTTTTAACTTTATGGGAAGTAATGCTGTGTCCTTCACATAGGAACAGTGATTACAGCTTCCAAGTAACAGTTCTGTGATGGATCACTAAGCTGAGCTCAGGGCAGTTCATCTCATTCTCTTAGATCACTGAGGTTGAATTCCTTCTCCCTGTGAGAAAAGAATTAATTTTCAGCTGTGGAATATCAGCACCTTTGAAATCTTGAAGTGGTCGTCAATTCACACTACCATTGATTTATTTGTCTGGTTTATTGATGGTTTTTATTTTTTTTATTTCAGCGCTTGACAACTTCATATCCTGGAGAACAGAGGGATACTGTCCTGCAAGCTTACATCAGTAATGACCTCTTAGATTGCTACAGCAAGTGTCAGGTCAGCTGGAGTAGTCTTCCTCTTCCTTGTATGTGATACTGCTGATTTGTTTCTGTGAAGTGCTTATGAGATGCTGTGTTCCTTTTTGAGTCCTTTGTGTTGTTAGATAAACATTCAGTCCGTTTTACTGATAAGATGTGAATTAACACTTTGGTCATAGTACCTCTATAGAATATCTGATTGTGCATGTATTCAACAGTATTTTACTGAATTTAGAATGGTTTGTTAATTGCGTTGATTTACTCACCATATTCCAATACTGTTGCTATCAAGTGTGAAAACAGGGTTTTTTTGTTCATAAAGGTTACTTTTATGTGGTTTCCCAGTTGTTTGAAGCAGTGGGCCTGCTTCCTACCTTGTCATTACAACAGTAACTTGTACTGTTAGAAACGTTAAAGGATTAATTAGTGATCTGATTTTCCTCCCTGAAAATTTCTGTAAGGGGAGAGTTATGTATAGGTAGTGCCAGAAGTAAAACAAGGAATAAAAATGGTTTGCAAGGTGGTGGTCTTGCTACGTTCTTGAGCTGCTTAGTTGTCAAGAAACAGCACTTCTATTCAGCTGACATTAACATTCAGTTAGTCACCAAAAAGCCCTGCTAATTTCACTGATGAACTTACGTGGGCTAATTTTAGATTTCCTCTTTACCAGTTCATTATAATTCTTATCCTACACCATGCTGTTTTAACAGACTGAGCTGAGCAGCTGTACTCTGCTTATTTGTTCATTTTCTGCCTCTCTCTCAGACCTACCCCTGACCCTGCACCAAAATAAGATTTTTAAAAAAAGAGGAAGTGGAAAATTCCAAATCCTACTGACAATTTTAAAGATGTCAGTATGCACTCCATGCTTGTTTGCTTTGTAAATTTACTGAACATTTTACAATATTATGGGAAACTTATGTTTGTTTTTACCTGCTTTGGCATCCTGGTATTAATGTTTGCTCTCTTTTTCAGAGAAGTGTCCTTAAATTATTGCAGTCTAAGAGTGAGGTAGTCAGACAGTATATGGCAAGGCTCATCAATGCTTTTGCTTCATTGGCAGAAGGTAAGAGATCCACTGAAAAAAAAGAGAGAAAAAGCATTTTCATGTAACACTGATTTACAAGTACTTCATGAGTGCATATCACTGCATGTGGGAATGTAGAGCCTTGTTGGCACCCTTTTTCTAGGGATTTGCTCTCTTGTCACATGCATTCCAAAGAGTTTTTCACTACCTGGGAAGTTTTCCTTTTGACATTGCACATGCACCATTTCTGCTGTCATTTGATTATTTGTGGTCTGTGTGGGAGCTTACCCAGCTTAGTCTTCTTAGCCTCTTTGTGAGGGTTAAAAAATGGGGGAGGGGAGAAGGGAGGGAACATTCCCTAGTGATTGAAGTGCCTGTAGGCAGACCTGCTACCAGGCTGCACAGTGGTCATTATTGCACTGTTCTTGCATTTCCTGCTCCTCATCTGAATAAATTTTTGTGCATCGCTGCTCCCTGTTTGGTTGCATATGTGCAACTGTGTATCTCTGCCTGCCCCAAATTAGCCTTTGGTTTGGTTTTAACTATTGCTTGGAACTGAAATTGCTTTTAAAGTCAATAGCAATAAGGCACCTAACTTTCCTGAGCTCTTTGGATGTGTCTGCTCTTTTCCTAGAATATACAAACTGATAGATCAGAGAGCATGTAGATTCTGTGTGGTGCAAGCAGAGGTACTAAATGGGCAGTTGGGGACCTCTAATGCTGCAAGTAGAGAGTAGCTGGTCTGCTAGAACTCATTTGTGCAGGTTTGTTTGGGCTTTGGCACAACAGTGTGTCTCCTCAGGAAAAAAAAAAATGGAGGTCAGTATAGCTTAGTCTTCCAAGGAGAAGAAACTTTTCTGTCATGCATCGGTATCTCAGCATCTGTTCTTTCATCGTGCCTTGCACCAGGTCGTCTCTACCTTTCTCAGAACCCAGTGTTGCTGCAAATGCTGGAGGAGAGACTGAAAACTGAGGACAAGGATTCCCTTACATGGGAGAACGTTCTGGGGGCTCTGCAGAAATTCAGCCTCAGGTGATGAAAGCACAGCATGCAGTGGTGACAGCAGGAGAGGAAATGTGGGCTGAGTTAGGCTCTGTTCGGGGAGGAAAGAAAAGCGCTCGATTTTCCCATAACAATCATCAGACCCTCTGATGGCTGATGAAAGCAGTGTCATTTATTATGGAGGAGAACTCAGTTTTGCTGACTGAATTAACTTGACTTCCTACCTGCTATCAAGACACAAATAAAAGTACATCTCCTGCTGTAGCTCTGTGTGCTTTTATACGTGTTCCTTAACTGAGCAACTGTAGTGAAAGTCTTTATGTAGAAAGTTCTGAAGATCCCACATTGTGGGGGGGGGAAGGGGGAAAAACAGCTGTCTTACATTCCCTTGCATTTTGTTATCTTCTTTGCAAACATTTTTCAGGGTTTTTATCCTCAAACTGTTAATCCTCTTTCCTGAGGTTGTCTGTGCATGGGCTGTTCTGTTTCTTTCTTCTGCATCAGCACTCTGACTCAAAAAGTCCATTGCAAAAGAAAAATCATGCAAATACTGTAAGATGCATGATGTCATTCTCATTTATCAAGCAAGTATTACCTAGACCTCTGTTTTCTGGCCATCAGGTGGCATATTCAGCTCCGATTAGCTAACTAAATATAGGTAGGAGTGTTAAGTTCTTGTTTTCTGTCACACTATCTCTAAATTAAAACCATAAGTTGTGTTGTTTTGTTTCTTTGTTGTTTTTGTTTGTTTGGACTTGCTGAAGAATGAGTGCTGCTTTTGGATTTGCTTCATGCAGATCTCCTGTAGATGAAACACACATAGATGTGCTTTGTATGAGACTATGCACTGCTTCCTCATGCAGTATCTTATACATACTTGAGATGAAATAGAAAAAATCTTCATACCCTATTGCTTGAAATCGTAAGTTAGTTTTAGAGAAAAGGGTTTTTCCATTAAAGCAGTGTTTGATAATACAGGTGAATTTGAGTTTTGGGGCCCAGCAGCATTTTGGTGAAACAATCTACTGAAAACTTCATTACTGAATGTTTTTTACTTTTTAACAAGTAACACTTCACCTTATAGAATATTAATGTCAGACACTTGGCATGAGGGACTTTCTCTTTCTTTTTCTTTTCTCAGCGTGGGGTCATGTGCTCACTTGCTTTCTTGCTTTGCTCTCCTGTAATTTATATTTTGTTGGCAAGCTAGTTTGAGGCAGGTAGATGAAGTAGGATTTTAATGTGCTCATATTAGTTAAACATGTATTCAACAGCTACTTATGTTGTCTTTTGATTTGTGTGTGTGTTGTGTTTAATTCTAGACGTGCCCTGCAGTCAGCAATGATCAAGGATGGGCTCATTTTCTGGCTGGCAGATGTCCTGGCGGATACAGATAGCCTGTCTGATTACACACTAGAATATTCTGTTGCCTTGTTCATGAATCTTTGTTTGAGGAGTGCAGGTATATTACATTTTGAATTATAGTTTTACTCCAAGAAACGAATAGGGAAGATCCCGAAACCTCCTATTGGTACTCCTGGATTCTTCAGAGTGACCATAACTAGTAGCAGAAACTCACATAACCAGTGATATTTGGGTGTCATGACCAGTACTTTTGAGCAGATCTCTTTCTGAAGAATCCTGAGCTATGGAAATGAGCTTGACCAAAATCAATGGAACTCTCCAAGATTTCATTCCTTTTTTAGATCAGTATATGAGAACTGCCATTCTTACGTTCCAAGTCTGCTTTTCAAAAGACGTTTGATACTTGTATAAGAGATCTGTCTGTGTAAAAGAAAGTCAGAACTGACTTGATCCGTATTGGAAGGAGTTAACCCTGCAGCATGTGGAGTGGAATGCTTGCAGGAAACACTTCGACAGTGCAGAGATTCCACACGGGAATACAGTGTTCTTGTCTATGCCTGAGAGATTTAAAAGAAGCTTAAAATAAATTTCCTTTTAAAAATGAAAGTAAGACAAGGATGGAAAAAGCGGCTGCTTGGTATAAACAAAATAACACCATTGTTAAATCCCTTTTTGTTACATCCTGTCCATGATTACCATTGCATGACTGTGAAGCAACTCCACTGATTTCACTCAGTTATGTTGAACAACATTCGGAAGGAACAAGGAATAATATTTCTCTGTGTAAATGAATTATATTTACTACTGATTTTGAGAAATTATTAAGAAGCTTGCTCTGATCTGTTTTTGTTGTTTTTTTTTTTTTTCAAGCACACTTATGCTTTCTCCTTTTGCAGGGAAGAAAATGTGTGCAAGGATTGCAGACCGTGTACTCAAAGTTCTCTCTGATCTTCTTGGCCATGAGAATCATGAGGTACTGTGTAGCAAACTCCAGGTTAAGGAAAAAGTGGAAAGGAAAAGTCAAGCTAAGACATTCAAGAAATGTGTAAATGAGATGAAGGAAATCAACTTAATTTGTTAATTAAGTTGTTTGACATTTCCTAAAATTCACAATAATGTTAATTTGATTTCATTGGACACTGATCTTTCTGGACATAATTATGTCTTCCTTTAACAGCTGTTGATAGGCAGAAATGAACTTCTCCTAGATTCCTAGTTATCATACAATCCATGTGCATTTTTGATTGTTTCTGATGCTATTTAAATGTCATATCAAATCCTATCTGGTTTGAACAATGTGTGGTTCAGGACATGCAAAATATTAGGTACAGAGGAGCAAAACTGCTACTGGTTTAAGGAATATTATAAACAAATAGTGTCATTTGGGCCCTAATATCTTACTGTCTACCACTTTGTTTAACCTGCCACTTTACCATTTTGTGGTTCAGGTTTCTTTTCTTTCTCCAGACACGCTTGCATGCAAGTACTAAAAATGGTAATTTATATCTACCTGATGTTTTCAACACATGGCTGATAAAATTGTCTTTTAGATAACACATTGCTTTAGCTGTCTCTGCAGAGATGCACTTCTTTTAACTGTGGGATAGAATTCAAGGGAAAATGCAAACAAAAATATGATGAAGTTGATATCGTAGAGAGGCAGAATTTTGAGGAGAATTCTCTAGATTGATTCCTTTATGATAGTGTGAGGTGTCGTGGGACATCTGGTTAAGCATAATATAAACTCTGGGTTCTTGTGGCTATATCCGGTGATTAAATCATGAGGGTTTTTTATCACTTAAACTGAAAGTAAGTTTCAGTGAAGTGTTAGCTCCAATTTTTACAAATTCATTAGAGGATGTAGGTCAGTTCTTTACTACTGTTTTAGTTAAGATGAAACTTGTCATACTTTTGCTGAACTGTTTCACTGGTATCTTAGAATGACCTTGACATTTCTCTTAAGAAGTGCATTCTTATGACATAATTTGCATCAGTGCAACTGGTGGAAGTTTTGTGCTTGCAGTTGAAGGTACAAGGCAGTGTTCTTGGTTGCCTGGAGAGCTTTTAGAGAAGCTGTGGGATCCTTGTGTAAATCCCATTACTTGTCTTCCTTCGCTTACTCTGCTCACAGCCTGGCTCACTTATTCCTTTTTTTGAGGTATAAGCAGAGGATGACTGAAGATCTTAGTGCTCCAGCAGTAAGTGGTGAGCACAGATGGTCACATAAGTGCTAGTACAATTGGTTAGACAGATCTACTGGTTTTCACTATCCATATTACCAAGTACTTTTGCTGCTGCTGAGGGACAGTAATGGGCAGCATGGGAAGATGTTCTGTGCTGCTATAACTTTTATCATTCTGCTTAAGGCTATAGCACATGAAGCCTGTCTGCATTTGTGCTGGCACAGTCTTGTCCTAGTTTTTTTGTCCTTTCCTATTTTTTTGGACTGTCACAAGAGCTTGTCAGAAACTGACTCTTTTCCTGCTTTCCTCTTTTTTTTTTTTTTTTTTCCTTGGTGGCAGTGCATTGGGTCAATTTGCAAGAATACATTTTCAAAAAAAGAGGGGAGAGAGTCGAAACACAGTAGTACTGTTTTAGATAAACTGTAGCACAGTGTACTTGTGTCCTATAAAGAAAATCACTGCTTACCATGTGGGAATTTTTGCAAATGTAGGCTAGCTTGATTAAACTCGATAAACATAGTTATTCTGTTCCTTTACTCTTAAACTTTGGCTGTAGACTACTTGGCTGAATGTCAGAGTTTTTCTTAGTGATCAACTACTAGCTGATATTTCTTCTTCTTAGATACAACCATATGTGAATGGAGCACTCTATAGTATTCTTGCTATCCCTTCGGTCCGAGAAGAAGCCAGAGCAATGGTAAGCAGTACTGCTTTTTGTAGCACAAAGGTCAACTCATATGCTGAAGATGGCACACATTATGGTACATGTCGGGTGGTGTGTGGCAGGATTGTGAGGTAGGAAGCATGATATTTTGAGAAGGATATCTACAGGAGGCCCTCCACCTTTGATATGCAAGTAGGTATAAACAGATTAAACGCTTTTGCCATATTTGTTGGTCTTTTTCCAGAGGTGAAGTCCCAGTAGTGCAAAGGATTCTTTCTAGATCATAAATTGGAGGTGTTATTTTGGAAGTGTTGTCCATGTAGCATTTTGTAGACTGAGTGTGGCCTGGATGCTTTCATTTGACCTTCTGTTTCCTCCCCTTAGTAAACTTATTCTGCAGCAGCAAACAGCCAGTAAGGGGACGAGTTCCTCTTGCTGCTGTTTTCCTGCCTGGTCTGGACATGGTTGGCTGGGGAGAGCTGGTGGAAGGTTTTCGTAGAACTTGGAATTGAAAGTGAAAGTTAGTCTAATGGTAACAAACATGCTTTGATTGGAGCTGGAGGAAACTGTTCCTTCCTTTGTACCTTAAGGACTGATCTAGAGAGTTATACAGACATAACTGCTGTTAAATGTTTTACTTAGGAGAGCAAGGGCACTGGATGTCGTCTTCAATAATTAAAGACACAACATCAAGCCTGTAAGGTCCACTAAGGAAGAAACTGAGTTTAGGAGAAGGCTGAAGATTGTCTTGCTTCTGATTTTTCCTTCTCTGAACTTCACACAGTTGTCTGTGAATGCAAATTTGCCCTTTTCTGTTGATTGCTGCATCGACAACTGGGTTGAGAAGGCAGAAGCAACAGATCTGTTAAAAATTGCTCTTCATCACAAATACTTCCACATTTAAATCTAGAAGCAGTCCACAGTGTATTTTTTCTCTTTTGAAAGTGTATGGACAAAAAGGAATGCTTAGAGCGGAGCACAGTGGTTTGTTTCACATTGCCTGTGTTTTTCCCATCAAAACAATGACATTTTAGCTGATAGATCTGTCACTGTGGTCATGTGAAATACTATTCTTACAGTGTTTTCCACTCCATCCAGGGAATGGAAGAAATTCTACGCTGCTTTCTCAAGGAAGGAAATGCAGAGATGATCCGACAGATTGAATTTATTATCAAACAGCTCTATTCAGGTCAGATGAACAAATGTGGCTATCTGAGCTGTAAATCTTTACAAAGCTATAAGAAGGCTCATGTTTTTATTTGGCATTGAAACTCCCACAGAGTGACAGTAATGTGATGGTCTGAGAGAGAGTGAATAGTGAATGTCAGGATTTGATATGTTTTAAAACTGACTTTTTTGTTAAGAATATAAAGAAGGAATAATAGGATGCATAGGTCTCAATCCTAGAGTTTGGGGGCTGTAAACAAAATGACCTTGGTGGTTTTCTTTCATACCAGTGGCCTCTTAGAGACCTCTGGAGACTGGTGTCAGTTGAAAATATACAGGTGATACAATTTGTAAAGTGAAATTCAGTAACTGTGTCTGTCTCTGCCTGTCCCTCGCTCTGTAGAGGAGTGTAGCTCTGCATTCCAAAGTGGCATGCTCTGAACAGGGGGTTGAGACCCTCCATTTTGGAGAGCATGTTGGCTGGTTGCAGGAGTCATAGGGGCTGTGGTAATGCAAGGTGTGAGAAGGTGGAATATTTGTTTTGTTTTCTGTTTCCTGCCTCCAAAAGGGAGGCAGAGGAAGGAGAAAGCAAATAATGAAAGAGGATGAATTCTGAAGTTTTTCTGTACAGTGAAAGTAGAACAAGTCTGACTGCTTTCTTCTAGAAAAAGACAGCATATCTTTGGTTCCTTTGCAAGGGAACAAATAGAATATTTAAGCACCATGTTGCTACTGTGCAGTATTTGTTCACCAGAGTTACACAATCACTCCTCTCCTACCTGTGAGAATGGCATTTTTATAAAGGGCATGTCAGATAGATTGGTGAGTGAAAGTTGAGTATAAAGGTTTCCAGGATAAGGCTGGGTGCTTTTTTCTAAGAAGTCAGTTTGTCCATATAATTGTTGGTATTTAACAATGTCATTGATGGTTTTTTGTTTGTTGCTGTTGATTTTCTTTTACGATGTTTTGGTGTTCTGTGTTCCTCTGTATTGCACGAAAGTTACAGTAAGTATTCTGCACAAGTCTGTATTTTTATTTGTAAACAGTGTTGTAATGAAGTGCTTGTAGAGAGAAGTGGAATCTTGCACTAAAGGCTAGTTGAAAAATTGAAAACTTTGCAAGTGAACACTTTGATTCACACATCTCATCAGAAAATATGCTGGGGCACCATAGTGAGACCTGTGAGAAAAGTACCACTCCAGAGTGTTTCTGTTTCTGCCTTTTTTTTCCTGGATAAGAATTGATTTCTAGCATGCTTTATAGGGGCAAACAATTCCAATAGATGTCCTGAAAAAAATGGCACATCTGTATGAGAAGCAAGCTGAATCATATTGCTCCAAAAGAGAGATGAAAATTATAGATTCTGTTAAGCTGGGTATGTGCTCTTACACAGTATCATTTTTCTTCTTACTAGAAGAGCCATTAAATGACAATATTGTGTCTGATGATGAAGAGGAAGAAGAGGATGAGGAGGTAAGTCATGAAGGTTCTCTGAAACCCTTTAGAGAAATCCTTCATCCTCTAGACAGAAAGTATTCTTATCAATAAACCAGATCTTGTTTATTTCATTGAGTTGGTTTTGTCTGTTTCATTAAAGTTTTATTTAATCTCCAGAATATATTAAACAACAAAATTAATCACTTTTTTTAAGGTATCATCATCTGTTTAATGTGTGACAATTTCTTTTGGCACTCAGAAATTTTGAGATATGTGCAGTAAGTTGTATGTTGTAAGGGAAAACCATATTACCACATTTGCAAAGAAGTGCCATAAAAAAAAAGGGGAAAAGTGAAGATAGGAAGGATCAGAAATGGTACAATAGTGAAAACTGCTTAGCTGTGTATTTCCAAGTCTATATTAAAATTTTTTTATACTGATGATTTTACTTCAGCATTTTTTAAAGAAACTGCCTGCATAGAGTAATAGGCATCTATTACTATAGAGTAATAGGATCCCAGGTTTGGAAGCATGCAGTGTGTTTGGTTATTTCATGGTCCCGTAGAAGGAGGTCAGACTGCATTATCTACAATTGCCACATCGCTGTAAGCGCATGGGAAGGAGGATTTGAAAAAGTGCTGCATGGGCAGCTACAGTGGGAGCTGTATCTGAATGAGGTCTATTATATGGCACTTTTCAAGAAGTCTTTCATGAGAACCTTGGAATACTGTTTGAACCACATATATTCACACCATAGAAGTCAGTGACATTGAGAGCTAGTGATCTCTACTAGACATTCTTGTATTATAAATATCAGTGGGGAGCATTTTTACTGAAAACTTGAGTTTACAGACAAAGAGTGAGTTTTGGGGTTGGACAGACTAAGAGTGTAAGTCCTGTGAAATTCAGCAAGCCTGTTGTGTCAGTGTTTGCTAACTTGTTGCACATAAATGCTAATGAACACTGACAACCCTGTTACACTTTGAAAATTGCCCTGCTGCTGCAGGTTGAGCATTTTTCAAACGTACTTTGAACCCGTTACGCTGTGAAAACAGAGAAAAATGTAAATATGTTGTAAAAGGTGTGGTGTGCTCACAGCCTACACTGAGCATAGCACTTTGCAGGATCCACCAATGCCCAGGAAAGCCTTGTAATCTTTTTTTCCTTTTATTATTATTTTTTACATGATTTAGCTTTTATGTTATGATGCCTTCCCCTGATTTTAGAGCTATGTGGCACTTCAAGGTTTAGGGCTATGTCAGTTATCTCTCTTCTTCTGAATGGGTTTGGTAAACTGTACTGTGCTTTTTCTAATCAGATTGTTGTAATTGTTTCATCTCCTGCTGTTCAGAAGTGAGTTTTCAGTAATCTGTTCTTCCCATTCCTCCAACCCAAAATCGGTGCTTGATGTGCAGGTAGTCATTCTAGGAGTTAATATTAGAACTTCCTTTCGTTCATTACACTGCTTAGCACCCTTTAACTGACATTCCAAGGCTTTGAGTGTCTTCAGTGTTTTGCAAGGATCCAAGGTTGTGATATTTTCCCTTGAATACTGGTACACATATTTGAAGGTTACTGTTGAGAAAGCACAGAGATAAGGAGGCCCATCATGAAAGCAGTGGCTTTGGATTGTATGGTAGCGTTGAATGTTTTCACTGACTGACTGATTGATTTTTTTTCTGCTGCTCTTGGGAATGAAAAGATTTCTCCTATTCAGTTGTGTCCCCTGGACAAGTTGCTGCTGCTCACCGTCCCAGCCGAGGCTCTAGGTCAAATCAATTTGAGATGTGTTTTTACCACTGAACCATCATGTGATTATAACAGGCCTCGGTCACTGCTTGTTTTATTCAAAAAATAACAATAGGCTTTTGAAACAAAGAAGTGCCTGATTTCAGTTTTGCATTAGCTTTGCTATTATGTTCAAAAGAAGAATTCAGATTCAGGCAATTCTATAACTACTACCAATGTAATGTTGATTGTGGTGAGTTCTACAATCCTTATTGCTGCTGGGAGCTGTAATTCTGTTCTGTTACATGTAGGCCTGCTTTGTTAGTCTCTATACGTACAAAACACAGTCTGCAAACAGCGTGACAGCAAAAGGATATATGAAACTCATAATGTTGTTGTGTTCTTAACTAAGCAAAGGAAGATTTGTTGTCTCACTGCCTCAATGCTTGAGGCCCTTTTGTATTTTGGAACTGCTGAGAGTTATTGTTCTTTGGGGCCCTGTGATAACATCTGGTATTGTGATCTGACAGCAGAAAGTTTTTGGAAGGCTTTGGCAGGAGTCTTGTCTTGATGTAATGCTTAAAAACTACTGCAGGCATATGTCAGTATGTGGCTGTATATTGACAATTTAGTGACATGCATTCAGATGATCTGCTGGTACGTTGCTGATTTGCTCAGCACCAATTTTCATACCCTCAAAACTTAAGAAACAACAAAGTGAGTCTTTTATCTGATTTTTTACTTTCTCTTTTATTGTTTCCAAGAGCATGCAAAATGTCTCCATCCTGTTACTATTACCTTTCCTGGTTTCTTGTGTTGCTGTTTTTGTTATTTCACTTTTGCCTGTGTCTAATTTAGAGTTGTTCGATTCTTTTGGCTTTGAACAGATCTTGTGGTAATAACTGCTTTCTTCAGGCACCAAAGATCACTTCTTAGAGATGCAGCTAAGAGACATGACCATTCATAACTGCAGAAGGTCTGATACGAAAATGGTGGGGAAAAAGATCATCTAGCTAGTCCTTTTCATGACTGCCACCACCTCCCCTCCCCAAAAATACGAAACAAAACAAAAAAGCAAAGAACAATTAATATGCAACTGAAATAGGACTGTTTTTTTTTGTAAATAGAGTATTAATTTTTTTCATCATCTGCTTATTAACATTATTGTTATTTAGTGAAAAATAATTAACACAAAACTTTCCATAAATACTTGGATATTTGCTCTACAGCTTGAATCTCATTGCAGTATTTGTGGGATTAATTGCATCATGTTGGTTGATGATTGGACTAGATGATCTTAGAGGTTGTCTCCAACCTTAACAATTCTATGATTATGATAAAGGGCTTTGTTTCCAGTGTCTGCTGCAGCAGTGAACAGGGCACCAGTTGTGTTATATCAGCAATGGAGGCATGGTACATCTGTCAAAGCTTTTCTTCCAAACAGGGAGCCAGAGGAGGAGCTCAGTTCAGACTCAGTTACCTGATGTGTTGAATAACATAAGGGAGCAAGATTGGCAGGGAGATTCTTCCCAGGAACCAGAACTCAGAGTTCTCCAGGTGACAAAATATGTCACCCAGCACAGTGGTGTGAAGTAGGGGTGAAGTAGGACCTGGGGACACCAAGCTGATCTGTGAAGCAAAGTTAAATACAGCATGCAGGAGAAAGCTGGATGAAAGATCGGGGTGATGGTTTGTTTTTTCTGCATAACGGGCAAGACTTCTGTCAAATATTCTTGAAGAAAACAATTTGCTGTTGATGCTGCATTGTCATATCATGTAGAAAAAAAAACAAAACTTCCCAGCAAACTATTTATAAAGCCTATCTTTGTAATGTTATTTTTTTTTTTTGTCTAAGCACTAAAGTATATGTGCAGTCTTTCTGTTTTGCTTGATACAGATGGTTGTTGGACAGTTTACAGGTGTTTATCTGTGTTTTTTCATGATCTGGCTTATTTCCCACACCTACCAACTTCCAAGCTGATTGTAGCATATCTTTCCCTGGGAGAGGAAGGCAGATGGAACAATTCCCTGAGGTCCTGTACAACCTTACTTTAACAACCCGGTATCTCAGTAGTGCTTACGAAAAACTTTGTTTAATTCATATATGGAAAATAATTATAGCTGGGGGGGGAGGTTGGGGAGGGGAAGCCTCCAATGTGGCTGAGAAACAGCATAAGGTTGCATTTTTCAGTCTGTATTGCATAACTAAGTTGGTTGTACAACTAGATCTGTAAAAATTACTGCTACAAACTTCATAGCAGCTGCTTGTAGGGATGGAGCATTGCATCTCTTCAGACTAGCACGGGGTGTCCTGCAACAGTGCTAAGTACTGACATTTTCTTGAGCCCTTCTTAGGTCAAGGAATAATTATTTGAGGCTGGGAATTTGAAGATGACAACTATGAAGTGCAAACTGTGCTTTCTGCTGAATAATTTTTGGAGGAAGGAGTTGATCTTCTCTCAAGATTCTCTACTTTCCAATTATATTAAAAGCTTAGTTGAGCTTGTATCTGGGTATCTGCCTTTTTGATAGAAATTAACTGTACATTGCAATTCACATGTGTAGTACTGACAGTCATTTATCTGGAAAGTACATATCAGCTGAGTGACTACTGAAGTGAGAAGTAAATCTGAAATTAAACTTCCTCAGAACCTGTGCTCAAATAAGGTGCGTGTTGCTGTTGCAGGAGGACCATGACATCATGGAGGCTGACCTGGACAAAGATGAGGTTTTACAGCCTCAACTGGGAGAGCTTACAGGAGAGAAGCTGTTGACAACTGAATACTTGGGAGTAAGTACTACTTTCCACGATCCTGAACAAGTGAATTTGCTGGATTAAGTGTTTATTTTCAGCAGTTTTGTTGCCTTCTAAGATCATTCTGTCTTCAATTTGTTATTTTAAAGGAATAGGTTCTACCTGCATCGCACTCCACATCTTTCACTCTTTTTCTTAGCTGTAGTTCAGAAGTAGCATAAGTTTGAGAACAACAGTTGCCCCTTCGTGAGAGGTGGTCAGGCTGCAGCTTAATAAGAAGCTGAAGGCAGCTTTGGGGTTCTAGTGCTAGATCAGTGATTGTGACATGCAAAGACAAGTGCTGAGAAAGTTAATGCTGGAATATTGCTGGTCTGAATTTTTTTCTTTTCTTTTTTTTTTTTTTTAAGTTGAAAGATTAACTATTACATTAGGCTTTATGCCAGATCAAGTATTGTATGTCTTGCCTCAAGCATTTAAAAGCCATTAAGTAAAAAAAGCATGAAGTTGGCATGAATACCATTTATTATGCTGCGACAAGTTTGAGTTAAGTTTGATTGCCTTCTGGACCTCAGAGTTCACAGTCTGGTTATGGTGGTGATGGAGATGACCTGAGTTAAGATGTCATGGAGCAGCCCGTGGTGATCCCAAGGAGTTATGTGTTGTGGCACTGAATCACAACTTATCTTCCAATGTAGTATTTCTATAGAATGTCTTCAGTGGCTCCATTTACCTTTCTTCCCACTGTCTTCTTTGTTTTTCCATTTCTTTATTACCCCTGTCTCAGATAATGACTCATACTCCAAAGACCAAGAGGAAGCTGTTTCCTAGTGTCCATCAGAGTATAGATGAGCCTCTCCAGAGACCTGTGACTCCAGGTTATCACAGAACTGCGTACCCAACGTAAGTTGAAGCACATGAGGCAAAGTTGAATTTTTTTTTTAAAGCATCTTAAAAAAACGAACAAATGCTTCTTACTTCCAGATAAATAAAATCTCCATACTTGAAAGTGCACTGCCATTGTCATTCTTTAAAGATCATTTCACAATAGAATGGAGAGTGCTGCAGGCAGGCAGAGAAACATCCGTTGGCTGACGTCACATAATTTAACAAGTTGAACAAATGTTTACTGATCAGTTTGATTTGAAGTTGGATTATGAACACGAGGAATATAATCCTTTCTTTTTCTTGCAGTGTATTCTGTTTGTAGCTTGTATGGGGTGTGTAAAATGCCTGGGTTTGTATCAGCTCGGAATTCTGAAGACTGTCCCGTGTCATTCCTCTGCTGCTTTTTGCTTCCATGTTTGTATTTTCAATTTTTTTAAATACATTTCTTCCACGTTTTAGGGTGCAAGGTCCATTCAGACAACAGAGGATTGATGTAGGCAGTAGTTGGACATGCATAGCTGAATCTGACCTAAGCTTACTGTTGTGGATGGGGAGTGATTCCTGTGTTATCCAGCCTGTGTCTGTTCCCACCACTATCTTGCAGTGACATTTGAACAAGCAAGTGATCTGACTTGAAGCCTTCCTGGTTCACTAAAAACACTTATTTTCAACTGATATGTTTTTGTGGGGTTTTGTTTGTTTGTTTTTGGCAGCAGTACAATTCATGTGGGATTGTATTGATTCATGTCACTATAGTCTCAGAATGGATAAGCATAGCATATGAGATCTGGGGATGCTCAGGAAACATCTTTCTCAAAAAACTAGGGAAGGTGAATGAAGCACACTTCCAAGGCAGAAAGAAAAGCTTTGGCTTTTGCAGAGCAGAATTTGTCTTGCACAGTCTTGATTTTTTTTTAATTTTTTTTTTCTGACTCAACAGAATGACCTCTGTTTGAGTATGGAGCCTACTTCGTCCTGGTGTAACCTGGATGCCAATTTGGAGTTTGCATCATTTCTCACAGTCATCAGCTTTTGCACCATCTCAATATCCAGTGCTTTTGCAAGCCCTCTCCCTCTTCCTGTATATTAAGAGAGAGAGTGTGTGTGAAGAAAACACCAACTGATTTATACAAACTTGTATTAGAAGCATAGAGATAAGATAATCTTTTTCTCTGCAGTCATGCAAAACAACTGTGTGCCTTAGAAGTCTAAGCTGGCTAATGCATCATTAAATACGCAGTGCCACATCATCATAGGGTCTGTGTTCAAGGTCCCACTTCCCCTGCATGGTATTTTTCCCATAGTGAACTAGAAGATCTGGACTCATACTGTAGCACCAGCTGTTAAGGTAGCCCTACTTAGCATTTTGTGTATTTAGAAAGTATTAGAAAGTGTTTTTCAAGAGTAAATCTTAATTACTATTGGAGTGTCTTGAGCATTACATTCCTGCTTTAGAAGTGGAGAGGAAAACTAGCACATGGAATGACTTTCCAAAGGGAAAAAACAGGTCAAATCAGGGGAAATAGTTTTTATTTCCTGGTGCAATGTAATGCATTACAAATACTGTATCAGGAATGGTCTCTATGATCAAATTGATCAAGTGCCTCTTTTTTTTTTTCTTTTTTTTGCACCATCTACCTGGGTAACTTAACAGAATCCTGGGATTACCCAAGTGATGCCAGTGTTGTGTTTTATTATCAAAACATGAACCTCCTTATGAACATCTCCCCACCCTCTGTAATGCAGCTTCAGGTCACTGCTAGATGCAAAATTAAGCCACCTTGTTACACATCTGTGTGCAAGAAAATGGCAGTGAATGAGCACACTTGAACTAGATTTTGTTCAGATATTGATGCACTTTGCTGGCCTTATGCCTTTCTAATTCTAATAAGAATTGACTCGCTAGAATGAGAAATACTCTAATAGGAAGCCTTGCAAGAGCAAGATAATACAAGTAGTGAAATCTTATCTGCCTTAATTTGAAAGCAATATCTGAAGTGGATGTATTTCATATTTTAAATGGTTCAGGTGGCTCACATTCCCATCAGATGAAATGGTATGAAAAGTGTCACATCCTACTTTCTTGTGTAGCATATTTACTTAGGAGCAATCCAGGACAATTAATCTGAATTACCTGAGATGTTTGCAGAAAAAATTTGCAAGATTTGATGCAACATATTCTATCTTTGAAACATGATGAAAGAGAATGCTTTTAATGGAGATACTATAATGCATCTCTGAGTTGTTGGTTCACACCTCAAAAAAGAAGAGGGGGATTTCTGGTGCTGAATAGGAGTATTCACACAGAAAATCAATACAGAGGAGCTACTGCACATGGAGCTGATATTCCATGCTGTTTTTTCTGACTTCCCAGCACAGACAAGTCTCTGGTTATTTCAGATGAATTGTCATGGGATCCCTGTATGGACAAGCTCTTGCTTTATGGGGAGCCAGGAAATACTGCAAGGCTGCTTTTTTTTTCCTTTCCCTCCTTTCCAAAGCCTCACTGCTGAGATCACTGGAGGGGGACTGAGCTACTTAATATTCTGCTAGCTGTTTCCTTAGAAACTGGTTTAGCTGTGAAATCATTAACTGCCTCCTTGGAATGTTCCCTTTCTAACTAGAAATGTAGCAGGTTAAGGCAATTAAGCTATTGGACAGGGGAACTTTCTGCCCGTTTCTTTTCATGGTTTGCACACCCTTCTCACTTCTCCTGGGTTTTATTGCTTATTAACAAGCCATCTTGTTCTTTTTCTCATCTTCAGCTGCTTAGGTTTCTCATTGATCCACCTAACTTGGGGAATCTAAAGTTCTACATCTTACCTCCTTTAAATGAGTGTTGTATACTGCTCTTTATAAAGTGAAATCCTTGTTGTATTCAGAAGCAAAACTTAAATGCATGAAAAAGCTGAGAACTGGAGACCTCACAGGCCCACTGCTGCAGTATTTTTCTTTAAGTGTCATGCTGGTATTTTGGGTCTTCAGACTGTAAGGAGGTACAGTTTCCTTTCCTTGGCTCTTCATTGCTGTAGGAAAAAATGTTCCTTCCAAATACGTCCAACATCAGCTGGTCTGGGGAAGCTACAGTTGTGCAGTTAAATTATGGCCTTGGCACTAGTTTGCTATATGAAAAATACACGTTTTAATTTCTTCTATTACAGGCAATTTGAAGAAAATAGAACTTCTGCTCAGGTAACTGCAAATATTCATCGCCCTGCCTTCTCCTTTCTCCTCCAGGCCAGAAAACGATTCCATTTCTTGTCACGATAGGGATGAAAAGTCTCTGCTGAGTGGTTCTCCTCCTGTCTGTGCTGGGAGCAGCTCTGGCATTGCTGACCTCTGCGCTTCCTCTTCATGTAAGGAAGTTGTTGGTGTCTTGACTGGGGCAAGCATTTGGGACCCAACGTGTGTGTTGTAGGTTTTTGAATTATTATTTTCAATGTAGCCTTGGAGCATGCCCTCTGTTTGGGGCAGCCTGTGTGATATTGGGACTGCATTCAGCTCCAGCTGAACGAACAGCTGCAGAAAGCGATGTGCGCCCAGCAGACACTAATGGTCTCCATTGCCTCGCTCCATCTCCCTTCCTGTGGAAGGGTCAGGGATCATACCCAGGGCTTCCGACATGCTAAGTGGATTTTCTTTCACTCCATGACGTTCTCTGCCTAGGGAAAGAGCCACAGCCCAGATACAGTGCACTTCCCACCAGGCAAAGCCACTTACTTGATCAAATATACCCTTGTTCAGATCTAAATGAATTACTGTGTGCTGGCACCTGCAGGCTCCGCTGGCCAGACCTCTGTATAAAAGTCAAGGCAGCTGCAGTTATCTTCTTCATTTTGCAACTGCAACCATAAAAGCTTGTGGAGGATGGGAAGCTCTGTGCTGTGTAGCTGCATTGTGGGTGATGCTGCTAAAGATTCTGTCCTTGCAACTTGCACTGAAATCAGTGCACGCTCATCTGGACCTTAGAGTTCAGAAACACGTGATGGAGTTTAAGAGGTTATAGGCTTCTGAAATACTTCTGATCCAATATCCACAGAATTGTGCAACTTTTGATGTGACTGTTACAACCTGTTTGCAGGGATTCATTGTCGTTTCCAATTAGAGTTTTAAGCAAAACGTTCTGCAAACTTAAATAAAGGATGTTGCAGCACGTCTAGTACAGAATTACCAATAAGCTCAGACAAAAGCCTGCCTTTACTTTGCTGAAAAATATGCTTTGAAGCAGTCAAGAAATAACATAGCTTTTTTCTCTCCCTTCTTGTTTTTTGAATTTCCTAGAGGAAATGAAAAGGATTCTGAGAAAAGTAACCAAGGTCTTGCAGACAGGAATCCATTTGCATAATGCCTAGAGCTGATAAATATAACATGCTGAAAGGCCATGATAGAAGCAGATGAAGCTCCTGTTTGAGCTGGGCGCTTGGGTTCTTGCTGTTGTGCTGGAGTCAGAGCTGCTGTCCTTGAGCCTTGCTATGTGCTGTAGCACACTGAGTGTAGCTAAGCCTGCTCTGCAGGGAAGTCAGCTGGCCAGCAGAATGCTGGTTTGACAGCTTCTCTGTATAGAAGGAAAAGAAACTGAGTTGCACATACGCTTTGTAAAGGAAATTAAGCAAAGCAGGTATAAAATGTGCTGCTAGTCGCTGTTTTAAAGCGTGTTGTAGATTCAGCTCTCCTTTGGATGCTATTTCCAAGGTATTACGCAGCCACCAGGAGCCAGCGTGCCTTCTGAGCTACATCTTGTTCGTATCTTGCCAGTGAAATGCATTTGCTGACCTCTGTCTCCTTATCTGTGCTGCTGATGCTGTCTGGTGGATTGCTTGTAGAGATTTGTGGGGCGGCTTATAAAGGGAATCTGAGCAAGTCAGCAAAGCAAATGCTAATTTTTGAAGGAGAGAATGGATTTAATGTTTTCATGCTGAAGAAGATGCTGCCAACTTTAATGTCTTCATATTTTCTAACCTTTTTTGTACCCTCTGAAAAAGTTTGCTAGCTGTTTTCTATCAGAACTTGTGTAGATGGATACTAGTAAGATAACTAGATTGTACTGCTTATAAAGGCTCTCACAATGCCCAGTCAAATGTCATTGCTGTGAAATAGCATATGCAATTTAATGAGCTCTTGAGTATTAGGAAGCTACTCACTTCAGAGTATGTGTTTTTCAGCATCACACAAATGCTTTGGTTTTCAAAGTTTTATGTGTTCCAGTCGTGAAATGAATAATGAAAGACCAAGAGTAAAAAAGAAAAGCTTTATGTGAACAGTTGATATCAACAGGGTCATATCTCAGGGAAGCAAAACTTAACATCAAGAAACCCCTCCTGTTTTCTGTGTCCTCTGCACCTGGATCTAGTCACCTGTTCTTGTGTTGCTTTCTTATTTTTCTGATTCTGTCTAGGACCATCTTCCCATGTTATCAGTTTGGAAATGTGTCTATAATTGTAATTCTGACTTTTTTTTTCCCCTCCTACAAGCAGAAAACTTGTGGACTAAAGATGAACCTTGGTCATCTTATTATACTTACAGTGAATCCCAGACAGAATATGCACTAGACAGCCAAGTTCTTGTCTGAAAGGGGCCTGAACTGTATCCCTATCAGCATGTGAGCAAATAAACAGGAGGGCAATCTGTCCCAGGCATGGGAGGAATGCAGAGGAATAGAGCTAGAGATTTTCCTGCCCTCGTATTGGACTTGCACATCTTGGTACTCCTGTGTCTCTCAGCAAGCTGACTGTCCTTCTGTTTCACATTAGCACAAGGCAGAAGGTGAAATTTATTGAGGAAATATAGAGCTCAATTCTGACAGAGGTGTCCTGAACACTTTTTTTTGCCTGCTGTGGCAGCCTGTTGCTGTGGATATGGACAGACCAACGCAGGTGGCTGCGTTCCTGTGGCTTTAATAAGGCATCGTATATTAACTGATATATGTTAACTGGTGGTCTGTGTGCTCCTAGCCCATCACAAATGCAAAGTGGAGCTGCTTTGAAAATAATCCAAGTGTGTTTTACTTTGCAATTGCAAGGGGCTGGAAGTATGCACGCATGCAGTTAGCCTGGCTCAGCTGATGAGCTGCAGAGTGCTCTGCCACAGTAACTCGGTAGCCTGCTTTTGTCTCTGCCTTTCTTTCACACAACTACTTGATTGTGTTTCTAGCAAACTGTTAAGAATTCCTCACTGAATTGTGTTTCCTTTTAAAACAGCGATTGAAATGAAGCCATCTAAAACATTCTCATCAGGCAGTAGGATGGACCAAAGCATCAAAACTGGTGATATCTTGTCTTCCCAGTCTACTGACTTCACCCAAGACAAAGTGAACGGGCATTCTCATAGGTATGATTTATCCAGATGAATATCTAAGAGTGTGAGAGGAGTCTGAGGGGATTTACCAGCTAATTCCATGCTGCTGTGAAGACAATCTGTGAAGTCATTTGATGTATGATGTAGTCTGGTCTGAGACAGCTGTGGTAGTGCTTGCCAAACAAAATACCCTTAGCAGTGCCAGAGGCAGCCATTCAATTTCTAAGCATCTGGTCCAGAATGGGAGAAACCTCAAGCAAGATGTTACTAATGAACATCACATGTATGCACAGCCTGGTTTTCTGCAAGTAAAACTTCCTGATTGCTTCCTTAGATGACTCTACTGTACCCCATGAAAAATCATTGGAATAATAAAGAAAGAGGTGTAGCTATGAGAAGAGGGCAGGAATTAATGTAGAGAAGAGAAATTAAGTATTTAATTGGATATGTTGTGTTTAAACATGCTGAGTAGCTGGCATTGCTGACCACAGTCCTTGATGGCTTATTTCCTACGTAGGAAGAGCAAGGAAGTCAATATTACATGCTCTCCCCGTAGAGGATTTCAACTTTGTCTTGAAACAATTTCTGTTAAAAGAAGAAAGATATTGCTCTCCTTCTCCTGTTCATACATTGAGCCCTCTCTGAAGCTTTTGTCATATGGAGGTCGGTGATGTTATATCCTGGACGAGAAGTAGGAATTCATTAGGAGTTGGACCAAGATTTACCAAAGTTTTTTCAGGACCTGCATGTGTCCTTCAGACGTTAACAGCTTTTTCCTAAAGCTAATTTGATTGGGCCAAGTTTTAAACAGTGAGAGTATAGAAATGTTAAAAGCAAATACATTCCAAAAGTAAAACACAGAATGGGTGGAGATGCGTTAAAGGTTTTACTGACTCTTCACGGGTCAGATTTTTCAGAAGGGCTTAATTACCCATGTCAGTTAAAGCTCTAGCACTCCTGGGAACTGGATTATTTGCTTAGAGCTTTGTTTCTATTTGGCGTACAGATTCCTTTCTATATATATAAATATATTCTAATTGTGCTACTTCCATGGTGAGATCTGAGAAATAATATACTGTCAACAAATTATCGCTGTTGAGCAGTTGAAGTGCTTAGTTGTCATACTATCCCAGCATTACTGGTTTTACTTCTGTGTTGCCTCTCTTAACAGTAGCTAAGCACTTACTACAAATACAGACAGACCATGAGAATGTTATGACCAAATTGCTTGCTTTGTGCTTTGGCAGATGGTGGGAGGCTATTTCTCAGGCCTCAGCTTGCAAGAGATGATAAGTAGGGAGTATCTTGCCCTCAGTGTGTGGCTGTGCTTCCCTGCAGTCATTATCCATTGTTAAAAGGATGTGTCCTCAATAATCTTGAATATTTTTGAATAAAAGCGTATCTAAATCTCAGTAATATATTTCTAACTGAATGGATACAGCATTGCAGAAGGAGGTAATATCTCTTCATCTCATGCTTCCTCACCGTGCATGCAGTAATTGGTATTTACGAAAGCAGCCTCAAGTTACAAATGTGGGAATGCAGCCATTCACAGTTCAAGCAGAACATAAGGTTTTCTGTGTTGGGGTCTTTTGTTGATATGTTGGTGTTGCAATAGCTAGACCTGCCTTTTTTTTCTTCCTTTCCTTCTTTCCTCCTTGGAAGCATACTTTCATGTGTTTGCAAAACAGTGAATTAATTAATCCTTGCTTTGGTCATATGGCTACTGTCAGAGGGGCCTCCTTCTTACTACAGAAATACTGAGACCATCCAGAAAAGTTCTGTATGAAAAAAGGAAGACTGACTCATGGAGATACTGAGTATTTCTCCTCTTCCTTGAGCAGCATTAATTCAGAATTTAACTGCAGAAGAGATCTGCAAAGTTACATTTGCAGTAAATCAGTCTGAGATGCCCTACTAGTGGCTTGTCCATCACAGTTACTGTGTTTCTGTAGGAACAACTGGTTGCAACTGATGCAAGCCAGACTGGCAGCTGCTTCTGCACTGTTCTCTGCTATGTTTTGATCCACTGGGCTTTGAGCAACCTGGTGTCCCTGCTTATAGCAGAGGGGGTTAGAAGTAGGTGATCTTAAAGGTCCCTTCCAGCTTAAACCATCTTATGGTTCTATGAGTCCATGTAAAAATACAGTTGTGTTGTGCTTCTTAGCTAATAAAGCATACATTTGTAATAGACTTGAGTTTATGATGGAGGCTTGCTTAAAAAATCCCTTATTTTTTTTATCATGCCTGTGGCCAGTATCATCATCATAAAGAGATGAAGCTCTGGAGGGTCTCCTTCAGTTGTCCCTTTCTTACAGTCTGGTGAAATTGGCCAGAAGTCTGAGTGTGTTTCTCTTGGAGAGAGCAGTTTATATGTTCTGTTTATATGTCAAGTCTTATCACACCTCTTGGCTTATTTAGATCTCAGTGTCAGTCTGTTATACTCGCAACAGACAGTGGACAACCATTTCCATTTTTCCAGACAATTTTCATTCTCGTCAGTGCAAATTTAGGGTTGTGTTTTATTTTTTTGTTAGAGCACCTGCTCTCGGATTGCCATACCTTGTCATAATTGACTTCTTCACCAAATATCACAGATCATTATCCCACAGCAGATTTTGCTGCTTTTTTTCTCAAATCTAAAGGATGCCAGATAAGTGAAATACTATTAGAAACCGAACAACGTCTTTCTGTTGGTCTCTATGTATTGATGTAGTAGGAGATGAAGTAGTTCAGTGACACCTGGGCACAGGGAGACTTGAGATCTGCTTTACATCCTGTCAGAATACCAGCAGAGTATTCTTTGACCTTTACAGTGTTTACTAGTGAGTTATTTCGTATAATCCTTTCCAGACAGTTTGCAAATAACGTGAGCCATCATACAGTACCATTCTGCGTTCCTTCTTTTCGATAAAGGTATTTCCAAATAATGAAAAATCTTATGCCTCAAATACTACTGAGGCTGCTGGGTCTTGCTTTTCCATCTGTGTTAACATATCTTAGTCCAACTAAGATGCCACAACTTGAAACGCAGCTCTTGAGCCCAAGTGGATAAAACTGCAAACAAGCCATACAATGAAACTGTTTGATGGAGAGAGACTAAATTTAAAGATGTGATTCACAGCTCAGGGTGAGTTTAACCCATCTCTGGGTTCTGGCTTTGTTTTGCTGCCATCTGCCTCTTTTGAAATGGTGCAAGTTTAATACTTGTCATACTCAGTGGAAGATGGAGGGCTGCAGAGGTGGTTCTGAGGAAATGAGTTGGTGTCTGTCCCTAATACTTAGCACGTATGAATGCAAAATACAGGCAATTAATGTTGCATCAAATATGAAGAAGCACTGGCTGCCACATCTCCTTGCAAGGTGAAGCAGGGAGTGGAATGGCTGATCATTGACTCAGCAGCATTCCCAGGAGGCAGGGAGGGATTAAATGTCTTGAAAATCCCCTAATCACCTTCTCTGATGCTCACAAAGGTTCTTTTGATGGAGCTAATAACACTGCGACTTTCCAAATAAAACTTTAATCACCTTCCTTTCGATGGCACTTTTATGGATCTCCTACTTTGACTCTGCTTTTATTTCCTTTTAATACAATGTGCTTCTTCATGAAGCTGTTATTTCACTTTAATCTTTTCTCCCCTTAGGAGGAAATTGCCTTACCAGAACCAACATGAATATAGATTCGATATTATGTTACGAACTTATATTTCCTGGTAGCCTTCACTTTTCGTATACCAGAAAAAATATATTTATGCTAAGGACAGGAAAGGACAGTGTGTCCTTATGTAGTTATGGACTAAATCCTAAAGACTGGTATTCCTGCAGCATGTGCAGAATATGAAATCACAGCAGTGTTCTCAGTGTGAGTGAGGTACCTGTGTGCTTAGGGAATTTATTTTATAGATGCTATTGCAGCTTTTTGTGCTTTTGATAAAGACTTCTGGGAGATTATGAATCTTGTCACAGCTCGGAGCCAGCAAGGCTATGTGTCTGTTGGTGTTGTGGCCTATGAGGATGCATTCCTATGCTGTAGCATCCCTATACATGTTTTGTACCTCTGTATGAGTCTGTGTAAGATAAATGTGATAGAAAACAATCTGGACAAAACAAACTGAACGTCTGTTCCTTGTTTGTGAGGGATCTAGCTGAGCAGGTTCAATCTTGTTTAAAGTATCGGGTTTGAACAGAAGAGACACATCCATAGAGCTGGGGGCTGTGGTGGGTGCATGCCCTGCAGTAGTACCAGTGCTGCCATGTTCCTCTCCATTTGATAGTCTCCCTGAATTTGGGTGGGCTAGCATGCTGTCACTTGGTTTCGCTTGATTGCAGGCTTACTGTGCATATATTTCCATGCATTGCTAACCCTTTTCCATGTCCTGCAGTGAGTTTTCTTCAGCCTTTACCAGCAAACCTAAGATCCCTCGCACTCCTGAAATATACAGTGCCAGCCCCAGAAAGGGGAAGATCCCAACCATTGCCCCCCAGTTCTCTCAGTCTGGACCCCAACAAACGAGCCGTCCCAGCTCCTCGGGATCATCCACAAGGAGCAGACAGAGTAAGTGGAAACTGTCATCATTCTGCTTGTCAGCACTTGGGGTGGGAAAGGAGGGAGCACTGCAGGAGCTCTCCAGGAATGAAGTCGTGTGCTGTGAGTGTGCCAGGAGTATATGACATTGTACTTGTCATCTGCAGGATGCACAACCATGAAATTATATCTTGCTGAACTCTGCTCCTATTTCCAGACTGTCATGTGAACAGAGACACGCTTTTTCCTGTCTCTGGGTGGAGAAAAGTGGCCCAATTTCTCCAAAGTATGGGGGGAAACTTCTAGTCTCATATTAGACATTCTCTGGATGTCATTACTGTCTCTTTTTCTTTAGACACTTGTTCACTCTGCTGTATAACTTGTCTAACGTTTTTGAATTTGGGTCCCTGGGTGTGTCTACACTGCCACTGAATGCAGACCAGATGTTAGCAGGCAGCCAGGCATGGTGTGCTGCTTGTGGCAGTCATCCTTCTGCTGGAGACTCGCATTTAAGAACCATCTGGATGAGTCGTTTCCTGAAGAAATGCAAGCAGCACTAGATTGCAGTGGGCTCAGAAGAGAGGAGGGCGGTGGCCTGAGGTTGGAGGGGAGAGAAGGAAGCGTGCTTCAGGCCTGCCAACCTCAGCACAGTGAAGTAGAAATGCTGGTCTCAGATACTCGTGCAACAGTGTATGGAGATTTAGAGGGTGTGTGAGCTCTGGGTTCTGGGGTGGGAGGAATGAAGGTGGTGCATTCACAGTGGGAAGGTGCATTCTTGAGTGACAAATATAAGCCTTTTCTCTGGAGTGCAAATAAGATGCCCCTGAGGCCAGCAACAATTAAAATTGGAAGGAGCTGTGTGCTGTATGGTGAGAAATTTAGTGATGATCACAAGGTAACAGCACCTCCACTCTTAGCTGAAACTGTTACCTTTAAGCAATTCAGGAAAGTGGGGTAGCTCTGAATGCCTCCTGCACCTGCCCAAGAAATTTGAGATGTATGCTTATTGTTAACTTCTCGTTCCAGGTAAGGAAAATGAAACATAGGGAACTGAAATAATGTAGAAAATCATTAAAGAGAGGGAAACGAAAGAACTTCCTATATCTTCTGTGCTGCTCACTCATTGCTGTTTTACACAGGGTGAATGTGAAGGGAGGGCACGTTTCTTTCTGGAGGTACAAGTGGGGCAATGGAAGGGAATGTCCCTGGTGGCTAAGAGTGGTTTTGACAAGTTGAGTACTTGCTTGAATAGTCCCGTGCTTAGGTAAAACTGCCAGCTTGTTCAGCTTTACTTTTGCTGTGTATGCCCTGTGTTTTACCCCTGACATCAATGCTCTCCATTTCCTGTGATAGAAGTACTGACTACATGTGGAGCTAGTGACCAGCAGTCTGTTCATTTCAGTTCCTGCTTCATTTCCAGAGTCACTAGTCCATTAAAGAGGAAAAGCTTTACTGAATAAGGGAAAAGCACAGAATGGGTGTGCACACCAAAACTTGCCCAAATCCTTATTCTGTTTTCTTTTTTGGAGCTTTTCACTTCACAATGCTTGTGTCCTGTGAAAGATGTGAAATGTATATGCTGCTCTTGTAGGGATATGGAGTAAGTCCCTTTCCCAGGGGCACAATGTATAATGCTGCTGATTTTGAAGTTGTGTTAGAGGAGTTTTAATCATGTATTTAATGTGTCTTTCTGGAAGACTGTCTTTACTTTGTGGATTTCTTTGGCAGAAGAACAAGCTCAGGGCACTAAGAGGAAAAAAATGAGTTTCTGATTACACTTACTTGATGTGATTACTTTAGAGATGCAGTTTTAGCTTTCTTTTAATATTTATTGTAAGTATTTTTACTGGAAGTAAGTTGCTTTTACACAAACCTAGCTGACCTAACTGGACTGGAGTGTGAAGGGTGTTTGGAATGCCTGAGGAATGCAGAGGAAGCACAGGTACTCAGTGCAGCTCCAGCCCTGGGGCCAGGATCCTGCCTGAGATGGAGCCTGCTGTTAGCAGAGTGCCAAAGCTGCACCTTGCAGCAAAATGGAGCTCCTCCAGACACCACCAGCCATGCTGGACTTTCTGCTGACTCCTCTTCCTAGCTGGTGCAGGGGTGGCAGTGTGGCTGGAACACAGAGTGGATCTCCAGATCTGGAGTTTTTCAGTTGTGCTTTATGTGCTCTGTGTACACATGGCTGAGTGATTTAATTTACCTTGTGCCTTACTCTGCTTCTGTTCCAAGCACCTCTTAAGGGTAATCCAAAGAGAAGGGATTTGTGTGTTGTACCAAGCTGTGCCCAGGGCATGGTGGAACTGGAGTGGAACAAAAATCTGTGCTAAAGGAACAAGGATGTCACTGGTACCAGTGGGTGGCTTCAGGCTGCTCGGGTTATTCTTTCAGTATCCCCTGACAAGTTGTTGCCATAAACACTCTCTGCATTTTTTTCAGTGGTTAAGGTGCCTCTGTGTGTGCTCTCTGTGGTGGCTGTGTCACTGTACAGTTCCCCTCAGGCAGCTCTTGCCCTTTGATAAATCCTGCTTTTAGTTGACAAGCTCTCTCTTTATTTTCCTGCAGGCATCCAGTCCTACAGGAAGTGAGAACAGTTTCTTTCCTCGAGAATCACCTGTCACATTGCTGAAGGACAGAGCCAGCTTCCTGTAATGAGCTTTACTGGCGACCTACTGAGAAGAGGTTATTAACACTGCATGGCACACGCCTTGCACGGTGATTCAGGGATTATCTGATGGGCTGCATCTGCTGTCATCTCTAAAGCTGGCTAAGACAAGGGCCTTGTTACAATTCGAGGTCTCATCAGCTGCCCACAGCTGATACAGTAGATGGATATAGTCCCAGCATCTCTGATAGTTTAAAGTGACATTGCTGCTTCCAGAAAAGTCTCTTGCTCTCTGCTTTCTGTGTCAGAGTAAATGGCCTTTGAAAATGGTGTGTAGGGCTCAGCACAGGAGTCTAGCCAACAAGCTGTCTTGTTTAGATATTGCTTGCCTGTAACTTGCTCTGTTGTCTTTTTAATTATGCTTTTGTGAATGAGTATGGGAATGTCTGGGTTCAAGGGATCAGCACTAGGAGAGAAAGCTACCTGCATGTGTAGAACCACTGCCTGGAGCAGCTGTGTGTGGAGTGAGATCTGCATTTGAACATCAAAGACTGGAAAGTATTTCATCAATGTGTGGCAGTTGTAAAACTGTGTGCCAGTGTCCAACTGCTCTCACTCACCTCTGGGGATCTGATCAGCAGGTTTATCTGTAGTAATTACTCCTATTCAAATGTGCTTTACCTTGGAACTTGGCTGCCACTGAAGCTGTAAAGCACAGAAGAAAGCACGTGTGTTAGTTGTAAATGGACTTAAAAAGCAAATGCTTTAGGTAGGTAAAAGAAGGGATAAGTTAAAGCTTTTGTGTTGGAGTTCCACCGTGAGAAACAAATAAGATGAACTCAGCCCAGGAGGTCAAGCAACTCCAATAATGGCAATTACCTCCCCCTTGAGAGCAAAGAGTTGTAAAGTCAGCAATCATGTCCGGAAGAAAGCTTCTCTGTGATGAGACCTCGAATTGTTCCTCTTGGTATGTGGTGGCAACTGAATAGCCAAGGCCATTTCTTCTCTTGATGTGATTGCCATGAGACCAGTGTTGCTGTGTCACTGTCTGACAGAAAGATATCCAACACGTGAGTTCCTCTCACCCCCTTCAATAACAGACTTCAAATTGGAGTTAGGATCTCTTGAAGAAAAAAACATCCTCCAGTCTGAAATCTGATCATATTGATGTGAAACTCAGTAAGTCCAGAGGGCTCACACAAATCAGGCAGAGTGTTGGTGTTCCTTTAACGCCCAGCTGCATAGGATATAAAGTGATTGTAGGCAGCTAATCGCCCCTATCCTGCAGGTCTCCATGGTAGATAAATCACAGAAAAGCTCTGATTTGTGCTTAGATTGATCCACCTCCTCTCCAAGTTGATAAACACAATTAATGGAAAAATGCTTTTTGGTTCCCCAAAAGGCAGCAATAGAAGGCAGCCGTAAAAACTCACCTAGTGGATTTGCATAGTAGGCAGCTTTGCTTTTTCCTCTGCAAAGCTTTTTTTTTTTTTTCTGCAGCGTGTAATATCAGTGGCCCAGCTGTTCACACTGAAGTGCTATGCATGCTCATCTGCATCTGTAGGTGCACAGAGTGCCCCAGCAGCTGAGCTGAGATTTATCTCACAGCATTGCTGAGTTTTGCTTTGGAGACAATTTTTTGTATTAATGCTTGAGAAACTCCATTTGCCAAATACTTGAGAGGAACTGTGTGTGATCTTTGAAATAAATTATGGGCTGAGCAGCAGTATGAGAACCTGACAAAACACCGTGTCCTTCTTTTCTCTGTCTGTTCACAAAAAGCCCCTATGATGCCGGTCAGAAGGGTTTGAAGCTGTAAGAAGTGTTGATTCTGCCTTTGTTAGCAGAACACCGCTGCCAGAGGTTGAGAGGTCCCAGGATGATCAGGTCAGTGACACACACACACAGCAAATTCTGCACCTCTTTCTTAAAGGTTGCTGTATGCCACGCAGAGGTTGCTGCCAGATCCAGCAGCAGCCTGATGAGTTCCTAACAGGAGCAGTGGAGATTGCCTGCTTGAGTGAGAGGGGTGTGATTGTACCTGGACTGGCTGCAGTGTTACTTGCAATAAGCAAGCACAATAATGGCACAAGACATAGATCTGGGATTTTGTTTTTCTTGTGACCAAAGTGCTGTATGACACTAGCATGCTTTCTGCGTATGTCGTCTTTATCTTCAGTGTTAATAAGACACTGAATCATAGAGTGTCCTTAGCTGGAAGGGACCCACAAGGATATTCAAGTTGAACTCCTGGCTCTACACAGAACCACCCAAAAATCCAACATTCCCTCTGAGAGCATTGTCCAAATGTGAACTGCATATGTCTATTTACATTTGCACGGAGAGTTCATTCTGTATGCTTTAAAATCATCTGACGACAGTGACGGAGCAAAATTGTTTCTAAAGGGATATATTAATTTTTCTGTCTGTGATAAGTTTGTTTGGTGTTTCATGGACATTCAGGGTGTGCATTTGTTTATTTTCCACTGTTTTCTTTGTGATAAATTCTGTCCTCTGCAACTTTGTCTCCACCTGAATGGAAAGCACAGCTCCCTCAAGGAGCTGGCATTGTTTGCTCTGAAGTGCTGCAGTGCAGGCATGAGCCTCTCACCGTGCTTGGCCTCACAGAATGGCTCAGGTTGGAAGGGACCTCAAGGATCATAAATCTCCAACCCCCCTCCCACAGACAGGACCACCAACCTCCCCATTTAATACCAGACCAGGCTGCCCAGGGCCCCATCCAACCCAGCCTGGAACACCTCCAGGGACGGGGCATCCACAACCTCTCTGGGCAGCTGTTCCAGCACCTCACCACTCATAGTAAAGAACTTCCCCTGACATCCAGCTTAAATCTTCCCTCCTTCACCATAAAACCATAGCTGTCTGGTCTTTATAAAATGGTGGAGGTTACAGCACAGGGAAGAGAAGTATTGCACTGCGTTCATGCACATCTTAGAGTAGTAACAGTGGGAAGGCAAGTGAGCTGCCTTTCTTCCTGCTGTTCCTCCCTGCTGAAGTTTGTCTTTGAGCCAGACCTTCCTGGCAGCACATCCATCCTCACACTTGATTGCAGCATGGCTCAATGCTGGACCAAGTCCCAGGAGGGGAAGTGCTGGAGAGCAGAGAGGTGCGCCTCACTCAGCCTGCCTGACCTCGGGGTGCCTGGAGCAGGCCCTGCCTGCCTGCACCTGGCTGTGGAGCACCAGGAGATGTGTGCACAGCTAACAGAGGCTGAGGACCAGCAGCCCTTTGGCCCGGCATCTGCACAGTGCTTGGTATCTGACCTCTCAAAGAGAGCTGCTTCCCACCTCCTTGCTGCATCCTGCCCTGTGAAGGAATGGCACTGAGTTCACTACAAGGTCACCGTCCAAACTTTGCTCTTTAGGAACCTGATGCTCTGCAATCAGCAGACTGAACAGCACTCTCTGTTACATCCAGTAACTTTCTGGAACATGTCCTTTTATTGCAGGTTCCTTCCTGGCTTATATTTACAAGCAACGCTGGTGTTAATTTGTGGAAATGAAAGTGAAAAAGCCTCAGATATTCAGGTGACAGCATTAAATGTTTGCTTTGTGCTTATCTTCAAATACGCAAAGTGCTGTTCTGGTGTGATTTTTAAGGCCAAAGTTTTGGAGAGTGCCAACGATATTATTTGCTGTGGATGGGAATGACCTCACAAGGCATTTAATTTAAAAGACAATTTCCTTTTCCATTTTACAAGTCTTTAAAGCGTTGCTTCGCTTTATTTGCTTTCCTCTTAATGATGCTGAGAGCTAATTCTAAGAATAAATGAGGCAGTTGGGTGGGTGCCTGAAACAGTGGCACTGATCCTGCGGATGCGTGAGATGCTTTGTACGTTAGGCCTAAGGAATAATCCTGCTTTGTCACTCAAGGTTTCACTCCAAGCACGTGGTTGTCTTGCTCTGAACAGTGATGAAGAAGTGGAGCTAACGTGAGGATGAGCTGGAAATAGCAGCTGGGTGCCAAGTGATACGGTGCCACCTTTGCTCTGCCATGTACTGCTCCGGCTGCCCCAGTCCTCATCTGGATCCGGTTGGCTGTTGGCAGAGGTGGAATGCTTCCTGAGAACAAGTGGCTTCATTGTTCCTGTCTGCTCATGCGCTGCCTTTTGGTTGGTGGTTTGTGTTGGTAGCATGGAGGAGGACCGTTAGCACCAAATGAAGTGCTGGTGCTGTGCATCACACCCCAGGTCAACCCGAAACAGCAGCGGTGAGGATTGATTTTGGGGTGCGTCTCGTCGGCTCAGCTCAATTTCATGGCTCCAGGTCCTGTTTGTGTAGGGCAGAGAGCAAGGCTTAGCCACACCTGGGCTGGGTGATCTTTCACCTTTCTGGTGAGAGTAATGCCTTGATCTGTGGAATCCAGTCTGAAAAAGAGAAATCCAGATCTCCCATTGCCCAGAGCGTGGGTGCCCCATCCCTGTTGGTGCCCGAGGCCAGGTTGGATAGGCCCTGGGCAGCCTGAGCTGCTGGAGGCAATCAGCCCATAGCAGGGGGTGGGAATGACTTAAGGTCCCTTCCAACATAAGCTGTTCTATGACTCTGCAATCCATGCTGTAATTCTCATTATGTTCATTATTTCCTGCTGGTGATAAACACACTTCAGCCGAGCTCAGCTTCCCCCGACACAGCACTCTCCTCATGGGGAGCAGGGGATGGCTCAGCCCCTCATGGAAAGCTGCTTGTTCCAATTCAGGTGCCTAAAACATTGTTTTTCATAAGAATTTGTCTCCTACTGCAGTGCCTGCGTACAGATCTGGCCTGGTTTTCTGGAGAGCATTTGTGTTGTTTCCTGCCTACTTCCTTCCCTCCCTTAAAATTTTGTTTTGTTTGGGGCTTTTTTGGCATTACTTCTTCCTATGATGGGAATTATTCCGCAGGGCTGCACTGCGTGCTCTGTGGCACAGGAAAGGCACTCATTGCACAGCAGCACAGACCTGATCCCACCGGCAGAGGTTTTCCATCTCCAGCCGGAATTATGCAGGAATCTCCTTCCTTTTGTGCTGGGGCTGATTGCGATCTCTCATTACCTTTCCCTTCTGACTTGTGACGCCAGTGCTTTATGCAGAGCAGTTTAGTAAAGAGACCAGTTTAGGGCAGGTCTGTGATGGAGTGCGATCGGTATTCGTGCATCCAGGGATGAGATCTCTGTGCCTCGATAGGCACCATTCATCCACCCACCGCCCCTGGGCAGTAGGGCTGGGGCAGTGGGGCCGGAGCGTGGTGATGTATTGTGCCTCTTGTTATGATGCCCACCATTGCCTTGAGCACAGCAATGGATCATAGGCTGCCTTATCTGAGTGACGTGGTTTGGTGCTGCTGCTTGGCACGGGCACTGCCCACATGTTCCTGTCAGTGACCTTCCTCTGGGCTGTGAGTGTGGTTTGTGCAGGGAATACCCTGTCCCAGCTGGAAAATCAGCTCCTAGGGAATCGTGTCCTTGCTGGGGCTTGTTGAGATGGTGGGAGGGGGTGCGATTGGCACAGAGGTGTGGGTGCAAACCTGCTTGTTGTGTACCACAGGAGCTGGTAGAGGCTGTGTACACCCCGTTACTCAGCACAGAGCAGTTACAGAGAGAGGAAAAGGCTTTTCTTCTATGCCTTCCCGTAGCTCCCAAAGGGCAGGCACTGCCCCAAGCACGCTGCTGGCACCAGCGCTCTGTGCCCTGGGGCAGGGGGGGAAGCACAGCCCAGCTCACGTAATGCAGGGCTGTGTGGGAGCTGCCTTCAGCCAGCCGTTACCTAATGCTGTTTTGATGCACGGATTCTCTCAGAGCGACTCGGATCGACTTGGCTTGTGCACTTCTGATTTCTGTTTGGCTCTTAACCAGGGAGAGGTGAGTGCTATCAGCTTGGTGCACTGATTCACTGGGGAATGCCACTGGCGGTTCATGGTCACCATGGAAGAGTGGAGAATAGAAACTTCACCACACCCATTTCCAGCCCTCTGCGAACATCACAGCATTGAGAAATACCTCTGTGCCCTGGTGGGGGACACTTGTCTGAAATGCAAACAGAGCAGCACGGAGCTGTGGAGGGGTGTCTCCCTCTTATCTCTTCTTTTAACTCCTTCCACCCTGAGGCAGTGCTGCACCTGCCTGGGGCTGGGAATGCCAAGAATCAGCAAGAGGCTGCTCCTGGCTCCTGCTGGGACTGAGCGTGGGGCTGGGAAGCAGGCAAGGTTTGCTCCCACATCCAATAGAGCCATAAGGCGATTGCAACACGTGTGAGCCAGCACCTGCGTAACCCTGCCTCGTGCATGGGCTGTTACCCGGGTTCTGACTTTTCCCCCACATCCATCGGTGCAACTCATGCCACAGATCAGAGCAGCAAACCCAGCTCAGCATTTCCTTTTGTTCCAATAAACGCTGATAAGAAGGTGCAGAGTGGGAGCACGCTTTGATTCCTCCCTGTGAGGAGTGGCACCCAGCAGCAGCTCCCGGAGCTGCACCTGTTTTACCGCAGGCAGCATCTGCTCGGGTTCCTGCCGTGATGCTGAAGGTCGTTTCCAGTGTCAGCCATCCCCCTTTGCACAACAGCTGTCCAGCAAGGCGCTGCGGCAGGAAGTGGTTGGAGCAGGTTGGAGCTGTCTGGTGTCATACAAAACCTCCGTAAATATGGCGTACGTTCTTCTGCCTCTCCCCTCCCTCCTCACGTACACCCATTGATTTCCACGTTATGCTAAAAATAACCTCTATTTCCCGGCTGGGAAACGTGTCCCTGAGCGGAGCATCTGTACTGATCCCAGGGGGTAGGGAGCAGTAGGGGTGCTCCTGTGAGGTCGGCACCCCACGGGCTCTCAGCTGGCCATGGAGATGCTGTGCCACCTTCCCCTATTCCCAAACCCTCTCTAAAACACAGCTGGGCTTTGTTATGGCCATTTTCTTGGAGATTTTGTTGAAGAGGCACTTGAAATCCAGCAGCACTTGAGGGGAGGGCGGCCCCATGCACCTCAGGCCTTCGCACTGCAAATTCCTCCCTTGGAGATTGTGAGATCGCTCGCTCTGCTTCCCCAGGGGGAGCACCTGCGTGTGTGTGTGTACAGCTCCCCTTTGGGGTGCACTGCACGCATCCCTGTGCAGCAGTGGGACTCGGTGCTGCCAGCTCACAGATCCGTTCTGCAGATGGGTTTCCCAGGGCTGCAGGTGGAGGGGCGGCTCATTGAGCTCCCCCAAACGTGGGAACAAAGGTGCTGCTCTTATCCCTCTCAGAGCCCTTCTGGTAGGAGAACAGGGCAGAGCCAGGGATTGTCCCGCTAGCAGCTTGGGATCCTTTTCCTTCTCAAACACATCTATTTATTTTTCTTTGGAGTATTTTTCTGGATGTTGCTCAAAGGCACCGGGCTGGCCAAGCCTCCCCACCGCCCTCCTGCACCCAGACTCAGCCCTGAAAGCCACTCTCTTTGCACAGCACTGATGTTCTTCTCTTGGATGGAAGCCCAGAGCCGTCCCCACGTCTGGGAATAGCCGGGGGGCTCAGCAGGAGCACGGCCCCAAGGCCGGGAAGAGTGGGGCAGTGTTTGGGGCCGAGTGCTCTGAAAGAGCTCAGTGTGTGAGCTCGGTGAGTCAGCGGTGGTGGGAGCCAGCAGGCAGGGAGTGCTGCTGCAGGAGGACATGAATATGATGAGTGTGGAGGGCAGGCAGCGCGGCCGTGGCTGAGAGCTCGCTGCTGGAGGGGCTGCGCTCCACCAGGAAAATGGAACTGATGAATAATGGCTGGTGGGTGCTCGGGTCCTGGGTGAGATTCCAGTGGGATGATGGAAGGGTTTTCTGCTCTCAAGGTCGAGGTCAGTCTTATAAAGCAATGTTGGGCTGGAAGTGGCACGTGCTGTTGCAGTTTTGGCTGTGTGAGCGCACGCGGAAGCCAAAGTGTGTCCAGGAGGCGAGGAGAGGCCACTCGGCTTGAGCTCCCCGTGGCCCCTGCAGGCACAGAGGGTGTGCATGGAGAGTGCTCCAGCAGGGTTGGAACTGGGTGTGAAAGGGAAAGGCATCCCAGGAGGATGTACTGCTTTATGGGGCTTTGGTTGACAGAACTCATGTTGAACTTTGCTGAAAAGTCACACAAATCTATTTCCTCCTGACGTAACTGCCTGCAGCCCATTGCATGGGGTTGGGCAGAAAGAACATAGCAGGGGTTGGCAGCTACCCAGCCACCCCAATGTGTGATGTTGCAGGCCCCATCCTTCCACCACACCTTGGTTTTATTGCTTGATGGGGCTCTATCATGCAGGAATGTGCACTGCTGGTACTGCTGGCTGCTGACATGTGTCCATGCCACCTCAGACACCATGCCACCCTTTGTACCAGGCTCTCCATCCCTCTGTCCTTCCCCATCTCTCCCAAGCTCTGTGCAGGTGCTGCTCCAGGCTCCCACCGTACAGCAGTGCCCCCCAAGGGCTGTGCTTTCTGTCCTGCACTGGGGTGAAGCAGGCTGAAAACACCACAGGGAGCTTAGCCAAGGACCCGTGGGAGCTGTTGTTTCATCCCTCACTCCTGGCACAGGGGTTGGGTTGGTGGGGTCCAGAGCATCCCTTGGGCAGGGTTGGGGCCGTGGCTGCAGCCCTGCTATGATCCAGGGATGCATTAGCTCAGTGGCCACCGCAGCCCACAGCATGACTTCACTGTCGGGTACACATCCCAGCATGGAAACCAAACCTCAGGAATGCAGCTGGGTGTGCCGGCGCTGCGCTCCTCACCCAGGGCTCAGGCATGGCAGAGACCCCCCCAGACCAGCAAAGTGCAGTGCCCTCCCCAAAGAGCTGCAGCTGAGCACAGTTTTTGGGAGGAGACGCCCGGGAGCACTGAAAAGCCTGATGGAAAGTTGCAGCAAACCGCTTGGCTCGGGGCTTGCTGGAGCCTGAAAGCAGCAGGGCTGCTGGGAGGGGAAACTGAGGCACTCCTGGTACACCCCCTGCCCCCTGGCAGGGATGAGCCACGGCTGCTGGTCGATAACCACGTGGCAACTGGGAGCTGCCTGCTCCCAGCAGCCACAGCTCACCCCACTGCCCAGGGAGGGAAATATTCCCCACCCCCCCCCCTCCCCGCCACCAGCCATGGTTTTCCCGTGAGCAGCGGCCAAGCAGCAGCTAGAAAACACATAAAAGGCTGCAGAGGGCTTGTGGCAGTCCCAGCTGGATCCAGCTGTGGGCTTAAAGCAACAGCACTGTGGGAGAAGCGGGAGGCACAGGGGCACACCTCCAGCAGGGATGGGCTTCAGTGGGAGATGGGGCTCCTGACCTTGTCATGTCACCTCCCCAGCTCTGTGCCACTGCAGGGGCAATGCAGTGTGGGCTTTGGTGCAGAGACCCTGAAGAAGAGAGGGGTTCATTTTCCTTTTCTCACCTGTTTTGGGAAGAAATCATGCAAATCCCAGGGTTGGATGCCCAGTGGGGCAGAAAAACCTCCTCGGTCCCTCCCAGTGACCCAAAGTGTTACTGTGCCACTGGGCTGCTGTGCGTTGGGCTGAGCCCAGGGCCCCACTCTGGGCACTGAAAGGCTGGGGCTCATTTGGGTTTCCTCTGGTTGCACCCTCCTGCAGGAAACCTGGCTCCACAGAACGGGTGGGGGCACTGGGAGGAGATGGGCTGGGTTTCTGGGTGTGTTCTTGATTGGCAGAAAGGGAAGAAAGCAGAAAAAGAAAGAAACCCCCAAACCAAAAATCCTGCAGCAGAAGCAGTGAGTCGGCTTTTCCCAGTGACACAGAACCCAAAGTGCCAGTGGGAAAGCACTGGCTGGGTCAGCCTGCCACAGGGAGGTCTGTGGGGATTGCATATACATTATATAAAAATGCTCGTCTTAAAGTAAAAAAAGACTAAAAAAAAAAAAAAAAAAAGAATTTAATCCAAAAGTCTGCTTGGAGAGAAAACTGTGGTTTGCAGGGGAACATCAAAACGAGACACTTTGGCATCATCCCACTCTTCTCCCTTTCCCTTTGCTCAACACAATGCCATGCAGGTCCAAAGCAATGCCCTGTAGCCCCAAAGTGATGCTCTGTAACCTCACAACCCCACAGTATCCTACCCCCTCCCTACCGCCCATCCCTCACTGTGCCCCTGATCACTACATTGGGTGCTGCTAACATGGGACAAGGGGCACAACCTGAGCACAGAGCTGGGCTGCAGAGGGTCTGTGACCCCCAGGCACTGTTGGAGAGGACACACAACACCTGTTTTCACCTCTTTGGGTTTTGCTTTCGGCAGAGGGGTTCTGGCTGCTCGGGTAGAACCAGTTTTCTGGGCCAGGAGGTAATGGAGTGCAGGAGGCAGCGAGGTGTGTGGAGGAGGGAAAAATGAGGAAAACACTTTAGGTTTGCTTTGCTTCCTCCTTTTGCAGGATGAAATGATCTTATAAACCAGGAGACGGTGAAAATGTGGCACTTTGTCCCAACCCTCCCCATTCAGCGATGAAGCAGATGTCAAAACAGCCACTTCATTTTGAGATTCAGCCTTGAAAACAGGAACTGGAGGCATCGGGAGTGCGTAGGACAGCAGGTTTCTGTCATTAGCAGCACCAGACCTGGCACTAATTGGGTGTTTAATTACCATTGGCAGCAAAGCCGTGCACACCCAGCCCAGCCCCAGCCTGCACTTGGCACTGCACATCCCGCAGGGGTGCCCGAGGTGCAATGGGGACATGGGGAGCCCCAGCACTGTCCCGTACCAGCAGACCTGCAGTGTCCCCTGAGGCTCTGCCCGGCTCTCTGCCAGCTGCCCACCCTCCCCCTGGTGTGGTGCTGCTGTCCTTGTCCCCATTGTGGTCACAGAGCTGTGATGTGAGGAGACGGCCGCTGTATCTTCAGGGCTTTGCCTTTAGCATCCCTTTGGGGCTGTTGGTGAAGGTGAGTCCTCAGTGGGATCTGCCTTTTGCTATGAGCACCTTTGCTCATAGGATTGGCTCGAACCTCTTGGTATCCCCATCCTACGTGGCAGGCTTGAGGCCAAACATTGCATCCTGCTCCAACCGGGCAGATGCTCAGCTCCCTGATACCCGTGTGCCCCACATCCCAGCCTTCCCCAGGGTCACAGTGCAGACTGTCCTATGGGCACTGGGAACGGCCAGGGAAGGAGCAGAGGGACACGTGGTGCTGGGCGGTGTGTGGGGTGCTGCTGGGCAGGGATCCACGGGGAGCTGCTGCAGTCGGACAGCTGCAAGCTGGGGTGAAGGGAGAGAATTGGGTCTGGGGATGGGGGGGAGTTGGGTCTGCTTCCTCCTTACACTGCAGGACCTGGAGGTTTTCTGGAGCCGTTTGAGCGGAGAGGGCAGCGTGGGACTCCCGGGAGGAGGATGGGGGCTTTGGGAAGGGGTTGGGGTGTCTCAGTGGAGCAGGAGGGGAAAACAGCCCCGAAAATTTCCCGTAGGGTCCCCAGCCCGGCTCTGGGGACTGAAAGGCGCCGGCGGGGGGTGGGCAGAGGGGCAGGGCAAGAGTTAAGCTACCTGCCGGGCCGTCCCCCTTGGCTCCACCTCGTTGAGAGGGGAGGGAAAAGGGAAAAAGGGAAAAAAAAAAAATCAAAACCGGGGAAAGAGGAAAAGGAAGAGGGCAGAGCGCACGGACCGCGTCCCGCTCCCAGCATGTTCCAGTGGTGAGTGGCGGAGGGAGGGGAGGGTGGGGGGGGGAAGAAAGGGTGGCGGCTGTCCCACGTCCCCACGTCCCAGAGGGTCGCTCCGTGCCGGGACACAGCCGGGGGGCTCAGCTTTGCATCCCCAGCGCTGCGCTCTTGTCGCACCGAGGGGACGCGTCGGTGGCATCGCGGAATGGGGACGGAGAGTCGGGGGCACAGAGCTGGGGGGACAGCGAGTGGGGAACAATGGGTCTGGGATCCGTTCAGCTGCCTTTGGAGGGCTTCGGGGTTTCTCCACCCGACTGCGGTGCTTCGGCCGTTGGCAGTGCCAACAGAAGGGCTCTGTGCTGCTGCCGCTGCCCCTTCGCCTCTAATTGAGGGGCCGGGAAAAGCCAAACAGAGCGATCCTCGGGTGGTTAAAGGGGTTTTCATGCGGCTCAACAGTGGCAGCGTGCCCCGACGGGGAGTGAGGACGGAGAGTCCCGAGCGCTCGGGGTCCGCAGCATCGCCGCCCGTAGGGAGACCTCACCACCTCCCGGTCTGACCGCGCACCGCTGCGGCCAAATCACAGCGACGCTTTGAGCTTTTCTTGGGGGAGAAAAGGCAAAATTGGAGAAGTGTATCCGATGTCCTCAATGTGCCCTCGACGGCACCGACACCGTTGGGGCCCAGTTAGGGCCAGTGAGAGCCCGACCAGGACGGCTGGCGGTGCCCAGGGACACGGTGATGGTGCTGGGGATGAGGTGTGGATATGAGCAGGGCTCTGGGGCTGGGCACAGCAATTCCCGTGCCATGGTGGACCCTAATGCTGCCTCACCTTTGCTTCGGCAAATTGGTGGGTCTGGGGTCTTGGGAGAGGAGGATGGGGTCTTGACCCCATAACACTATTCCCACCTCAGGAAACTGAAGGACAGAAGGGCTGGAGGTCAGGAAACCCAGCGTGTGGTTATTAATCCTTGGCCTTGTGAAATGCTGGGTTTGGAATGGAAATTGCCCATGGTTGTCTCAGGGTCCACACGTCCCCATTGCTTTCCCAGGCCAGGATCAGTGCAGTGGGGTTACTCTGAGGGGGGTTACTCTGAGGGAAGCCCAGGTGCTGTGGGGCAGGTGACAGGGAGAGGTTCTGACCTTGCGGTCCTAATGGGATTGAACTGCTGCCACGTTGAAAGCAAAGGGTTTCTGAGAACAACCTTTGAGTGGGGATCACAGAGGGTTAAAGGCAGTGGGATGGAACTGGGGCTGCTCCCTCATCAGTCTCAGGTGAGTGCCCACATATAAAACCAAATGAGAGCTCTCCATTTGCTGGTAACTACTCATTTCCATGCATGTTCTCACAGTCTCTAATAGCATTCATGCTTTTCTCATATAAATATGAGGCTCAAAATGTTCCTTGTGCTGAAGGGCAAAACCAGAGCCAGGAGCTCCCAGCTCCTAGTTTGAGGTACCTCATTTCATAGTCCCTATTGCCACCTGCAAGTGTCACCTGTCCCACAGGGATGTGACAATGGTGATGATGAGCTGTTTGAGGCTGTAGTACACCAGGGCAGGGAGTTTCTCAAATTTATTGCAAATTACTCCAGGTAAAGCAATATATAGTTAAATGTAGGAACTTCACATGCTCACCTATGTGTGTAGTTATCTATATAACTGTTTTGAAGTGTTCCTGATGCAGGAGTGGAGCTGGCAGGACATCACAACTCTATGCTGCTGGATCCCAGTGAGGTGGGAGATCCCACACTGCCTTTTCTTTGGGCACATTCCTGCAGTGCACACTCACAGCTGCGGCCAGCTCCTGTTTTCCTGCCCCACTATTGCTGTTTCTTTGTTCTGTTCTTACCAAGGATGTATTGGGCACCCAGTTGCAAGCCTCAAAGATGTTTCTGCAGGTTCCAGGCAGCCTATTGGTATTTTTCCACCACCGTTGGGCTGCTCGGATGATCCCTAATGTAGGGCCATCCCCAGCCCTGGGGCACCCAAGGGCAGAGGAAATTGGTGCAGCAGAGCCAGCTGGGGGGCAGCCAGGTGCCCGGGGCACAAACCTGCCTGGCTTTGGTGTACGTGGGGCAGTAAGTGGGGGGGTTATTGGGTGCTGCAACAATCAGTGGGTCTCTTTTGGGCTGCAGGGTTTGTGGCTTCCAACGATGTCCCCCAGTTCTTTCAGATGAGCCTCCCACCGCTGTTTTCCTCTCCTTACCTTCCATCTCGTCCCTGTAGGAGGAAGACCATCTACAAAACGGTCTGCCTGTCCTTTCTGCTGGTGATCACGGTGACAGTGCTGCAGCGGGGAATGGCCCCCAGCCAGTTCCTGCAGGGCCAGCAGCAGAAGGAACTGCCTACACCGGAGCCCCTAAAAACACAGAAGAGAGACAGCGCCTTCTCCATCACCAGCACCTTCTGGAAAAGCAAAAAGGAAAAAGCTCCAGGCAAGGAAGAGGAGGGAGGCATGACAGAGAGGCAGATGAAATCATGGGACATCACCACTACCAACTGCTCGGCCAACCAGAACTTGAGCAAAGTGGACTGGTTCAAAGGGCTGGAGCCCAACTTCCAGCAGTTCCTGCTCTACCGGCACTGCCGCTACTTCCCCATGCTCATCAACCACCCCGAGAAGTGCAGCGGGGACGTCTATCTGCTCATCGTGGTCAAGTCCATCATCACGCAGCACGACCGCCGCGAGGCCATCCGGAGGACGTGGGGCAAGGAGAAGGAAGTGGAGGGCAAGAAGATCAGGACGCTCTTCCTATTGGGCACGGCCTCCAAGGAGGAGGAGAGAGCCAACTACCAGAAGCTGCTGGATTACGAGAACCACATCTATGGGGACATCTTGCAGTGGGATTTCCTGGACAGCTTCTTCAATCTCACGCTCAAAGAGGTCCACTTCTTGAAGTGGTTGAACATCTACTGCGACAACGTCCGCTACATCTTCAAAGGCGACGACGACGTATTTGTGAGTCCCGACAACATCCTGGAGTTCCTGGAGGACAAGAAGGAGGGAGAGGACGTCTTTGTGGGGGACGTCCTCTACAAAGCCAGGCCGATCCGGAAGAAGGAGAACAAGTACTACATCCCCAGTGCTCTCTACAACAAAAGCATCTACCCGCCCTATGCGGGTGGTGGAGGCTTCGTCATGGATGGACCATTGGCCAAGAGGCTGCACAAGGCCTCGGAGACGCTGGAGCTGTACCCCATTGATGATGTTTTCCTAGGGATGTGCTTGGAGGTCCTCAAGGTATCACCCGTTGGGCACGAGGGCTTTAAAACGTTTGGCATCGTGAAGAACAAGAACAGCAAGATGAACAAGGAGCCGTGCTTTTTCCGGAGTATGTTAGTGGTTCATAAACTGTTGCCTCCAGATTTGATCCAAATGTGGGACTTGGTGCACAGTAACTTGACGTGCTCAAGAAAACTCAATGTCCTTTAGCTCATTCTCTCTGGAGAGCTGGGACTGAGTGGGGACACAAGAAGTGGGACGCAATGAGCCTCTGCTTGTGGCATGGGCAAGGCTTGTGATGGTGGTTGTTCCTGTACTGTAATGTGGTTTGCCTATCTCCAGCTGGGTTGGGGGTTGCTGAAAATGAAGAAAAAAAAAAAAGAGAAATCCTAGCACAAAGTGGGAAGGGAGAGAAAAAGAGGTCTGTGCCCTGCAATAGATACCACGTCCAGGTGGGGCTGGGGGAGGCAGGAGGGGATTTGTGCTGGATGTTTTGGGTCTGGCTACCCAGGAAAGCTGCTCCAAGGGGGTCAGACGTCTACGTGCACATGAACGCTGCTCAGAAGCAAAGGGGATTGTATTTGTACCTGAAACGCCTCCTCCACGGTGTGTCATCTGGGGGGACACAGGGTGGGCACACCCTGCCATCACCAAGTGCAGGGTTGAACTCCCACGTGTCCCTGTGTGCTGTGAATGTGCACAGCCACATCCACAGCCCTGAACACGCACGGCGAAACGCGCACATGTGTGTGCTTGCTCTCTTCTCTCTCTCTCTCCTCCTCTGGTGCCAGACTTTAAAAGGAAAAAATTTCTACTACCTCAAAGGTCCCCCTGTGCAGTGCCTTTTTTTTCCCCCCCTCCTTTTCCTAATGTGTTTTGGAAAAGTGCCTGTTTCATTCACTCCAAGTCTGTATGTTCCTCAGGTTAGAAAACAAACAAGAAGGGGTGTACAGCAGCCAAAGGAGGCACTGTGTGCCAAGCCACACCACTTCTCTGCAAATGTCCTTCGTCTGCTGGGATGAGCTGCAGATTTGAAGGGAAGAGAAAGAGCCCATTTGTCCCCCAGGCTTGGCTATTGGTGACGGCACAGGGGGCTAAATGATGGTGTTTGGTGATGTTCCATTGATTTATTAGGTGTCCAAAGGAGCCACAGCCCTGGGTACCTGCAGGGCCCGAAGGCACCGCTGGGCACAGGGCTGCTGTTCTCCATCCTCTGGGGGGTTCACCTGGGGCACTTCCTGAGGTGACACCTCTGTCATTCGTGTGGGGTACAGCTGTGTGCTCATCCCATCCATGGGACGGGGCACAGAGCAGCACGCAGAGATCTGTCAGTGCTGCTCTTCACCTGGAGGGAAACGGGAACTGCATAGATTCGGTGAATAACTTAGTTTTGGAAATAAAGCTTAAAAGAAGGAAGAGTTCAAAGCAAAAACGAAAAAACCCAAGCCCTCACCTCGTATTGTTGCTAGCAGTTTTCTGCTGGCCAGGACAGCCTGGATGGTTGGGAACAAAACGCGGTCGGTCACGGGCCATGGTAGTAAAAGGGCACAGCCTTAGCTGGGCTGGAGGGGAGGGAATAAAGGCTTGCGAGGAGATCCCCCAGCCCTGCCCTCCCGTCGGTGCAGCCCGCAGCTCGGTGCTGCTCTGCTGCTGCCCTCTGCTGTCCGGCCCCGCCGCCGCGCTCCGACCATTTGCCGGCGGGCCGGCGCGCAGCCTCCGAAATAAAATGGCTGATGGCAGCGGTGCGAGCGGGGCTGCACGCAGACCTACGGAAATGGGATTTTCTACGCTCTGCAGCGCTGCTCCAGCCGCCAAACGCCGTTTATTTCTTCGTACAACCGGTGCTCGCGTGGAACGCTACGCGTGAAGGGAAACGCTGCGCTGTAGGGAGCGCACTTCCCCGAGCCGGAGGTTCTGTTCTGGGAATAAGGCAGTAGAATTGCAGGCTGCAAGCACTACACTTGCCCTGTTAGCACTAGAGAGGAAGGTCAGTGCCGAGCTGGGAAGATGCCTGGAGTGGCACAGGGCTGGGCTGCAGGTGAGAGAAGCCTCTCGCTGCCAGCTTCGCCCTGCTGCCAACACTGCCCGCTGGGCACAGGGCTCACAGCTGCCCTCCTGCCTTCTGTACCAACATGCTGCATTACTCAAAGGCAGCATTGTGCCCCACTAACAGCAGCAGGCCAGCATCCAAGGCCCGGGGCAAGACAAGAGATCAGGGCTATGCCAAAGGGAGAAAGGTGGAGGAGTTGGCCCATATCCAGAGCAATGTTCATGACAGGCAACGGTTACTTCCCCTACTGTGTTTCTAGATACTGCCTCAACACCAAGGAAGCAACAGGAGACTGACCAGTACCAGTTTGGGATAAATTAAAACACACACAGCCTTACTTTCATTCTAGAAGAGGGTAAGAGTAGTCGCAGTCCAGGGAAATACTTCCTTCCTTGTGTAAGCATAGCCCCTGCAGCATGGAAGAGAGGACAGAGCAGGCCAAAGCCCAAGGATGCTGCCTGCACCGATCAGAGTGACCTTCAAGCAGGAAGCCTCCAGCCAGACTCTGTCACAGCCCTTGGTGTAGTGGCACAGAATTAACACGAACCAGTTTAGGTCCTTTAATCTGTCCAAGACAGGGTGCTGAAGCACAAATGATAAAACATTCTGCATTTTTACAGCAAAAAAATGCTACAGAAGTTTATAGGAAAAAAAATATTTTTGTACATGGGTAAAACATTATAAATTCAAGACAACTCACAGACAAAGGGTAAATTCCCACAGCTATCGCTCATTTCTGTTAAAAAGTTCACTTGAATATGCAAGCAGTCAAAATAGCTTGCTTTTCTTCCTTGAAATGAAAATTCTTTCTTCCAAGTGGCTCACAGTACTCCTTTGCACCTTGGAATGTCCTCCGAAGGCTCCGCCAAGATAAAAGGAGAATAAAAACCCCTGGAGTCCTTTCAGATAGTCTCAGAGATCAAGAGAAGGGAAAGGAATAGGGAAGTTTATTCAAACTTGATCTTCTTCCCTTGTGGCTTGTGATCTCCACCTCCTCCTCTGCCTCCTCGGAAGCCACCTCCTCCTCTACCTATAAAAAGAGAATGTATCAGGAAACAAAGATGCACGGGTCCCCCTACAGTCACCACTACCTTTCCAAACCCCTCCCTGGTACAGGACAGAAAATAAATTCACATCCAACACTCTTATGGTGAGAGCATGCTGTAACCCCAAGAACAGCTTCAGTTGATTTTTGACTACAAGCCTTAGAAGGTTACTTACCTCCAAATCCTCTGCCACCACCTCTGCCTCCAAATCCACCTCTTCCTCCTCGGCCTCCTCTGCCACCACGACCACCAAATCCACCACCAAATCCACCGCCACGCTGAAATTCACCCTTTGGTTTGGCAAAATCAAGGATCACTTTGTTTCCATCTATCTCTCCATCCTCCATAGCCTCTTTAGCTGCTTTGGCATCTTCTGGGGAGCTGAAGTCCACAAACCCAAACCTAGGCAGTAGATTAAGAGAAAGACGGTCAAACTCCATGCAATCCATGAACTGTAGCACCACCTACTGGCACTTGATAGCAATCCCTTAGGTAACTAACATCTAAGCCAACACGGGGAGATCTGGAACTGTTACTTGTAGACCAGTAAGTAGCTGATCACAACTGATGTAACCATGTTGTGAGTGTGCCACTACTGAACTATTGATGTCCTTCTCGTGCGAATCCATAGGCTGCCACGATTTGTTGGCAGGAAGGAGCTCATTGAGAAGTGAGCATTCCCAACCACAGCTATGGGCCTATCCTCCTCCTCTAGTTCCACACCATCTACTGCCTTCTAAGAACTACCTACATAAGCCTTAGACACACACAAGTATTTTTCTCCTGCAGGAACTGAAGTAACCCCAGATCATGCTTAACATACCCTTTAGAAGATCCAGTGTCTCTATCTGTGACTATTCTAGCACTTATAGAGCCTTCAAATGATTCTCTTAGCGTCTCCTCCGTTGTGTCCTCAGAAAGGCCTCTGACAAACAATGTTTTGCTTTGTTCTGTGGAAAGAATGTTCAGAAATGAGTCTGAGCAAAGCTACCATTAACTTCTCAACACCACATTCAGCCTGTGTTACTGACTTCAACTACAGTTCCCAGAGCTTTCTTTTAAAGGAGACTGAGGCATCCAAAAGTAGATGATTTTGAAAACTCTCAGAACTGCAAAGAGAACCTTACATCCAAGTGTCTCCAAATGGAGACCCCCCCTCTACACACTTTTATCCTCCCATAGATACTACAAGTGAATATCAGTACAGATACTAACAGGGTAACAGACACTGCTGGATCAGCACTTGACTATCTAGAGGACTTTAGAAATCGTTTCATCAGCATTTCAGATAATCAGTCATCATATCCAGCACATCCACTCATGTCTTTCACAGTTGTTTGTTGTGTTTTTGTGATTTTTTTTTTTTTAAAGCAGACAAAAGTTTGCATGAATTGCACACTCTTACCACAAGATCAAACAATCAGGCATGGAACACTTACGGTTAAATCCTCCTCTTGCATTCATGTTCCCTTTCTGCCATGATGGTGAACTGAATTCCAGTCTGATTGCTCTGCCTTCAATTTCTGTGTTGTTACAGGAATTCAATGCCTCTTTAGCATCCTCGGCTGTGGGAAATTCTACAAATGCATACCTATTTGGAAGAGGAAGATTTCAGTCAGCCTGGGAGGCACAGCACATCAGTGGAGGTAAGGCATTCACAATGCCAACTGAGGACCCAGTTATGAACATACCCTTTAGGCCTGCCCTGGTTGTTTTGTGGCATCTTGATGGAAGTGGCTTTTTTAAACAGTTCCTGGAGAGTTTCTTCTGAGGCAGCATACGACAGGTTGTTCACAATCAGTGTCTTTGACTCCCTCTCTCCCCCTCCTAGAAAGGAAACACAATGATCTAAGTCCAAGCTTAGAGAGGAAAGCTCTCTGCCTCTGGGCACAAAGTCCCCTCCTAAGGAGACGGCAGCTGTTGCACCCCCTTCCCACTTTGAGGTGAGGCACAAAGCCAAGAACAATACTGTTCTGGTCACCTGGACTAACTGCCCTTTTTTGTCAGAAACATGCAAGAGATCTGCAATGCATGCCATCTGGAGCACAAATAAGGCAAAAGGCTCCTGCCCATTATCTTACAGCTTTGCTGCAGTGCTTCAAGTCATTCTGTCCCTAGCAAGCTTCTAATACAAGCAGAGCTAAGTCCTGCCCTCTGCATGAACACTATTAATGTGAAAACATACCTTTCTGATTTTCTTGTTGGCTCTTCTCACCGGTGTAGTCAATGACCATAGCACGACCATCAACCTCTGTGCCTTGTTTCTCCTCCAGTGCTTTTTCTGCCTCAGCTTCTGTTTTGAATTCAATATAGGCCATCCTACAACAAAGAAAGTGACGGTCATTCCTCCAAGGAGGCACTGGTTTAAGTTGATGATTGAAGGGGATGATGCCTAAACACATCAAGTTCAATAACAGCAAACATCTAACAATTTCTCAGCTACATACCCTTTGCTGCTCCCTTCCTTGTTAAGTACTAGTCGGACTTCTACAGCATTTTCAAATACATTTTTCATTTCATCTTCAGTTATACGGTAGGGCAGATTCTTCACAAACAGTGTTCTAGCATCTCTCTCTGCAAAGAGGAAAGAAAAGTTCTCATCATCCGCTCCATATCCCTTCAAAACAAGCAGACAGACCAAATTCATCCAGCAGGAAAAAAACCTGAACAGTATACATTTGTAGTCCCAAAAGCAGAAAAGGCAAGAGCAAAAATTAATTAGATTACCACTATGTTGTTTCCCTAAAGGCACTAAATTCTGAATACAGCTCCTAAAGCTTAGGATAGGACCACATTTCCTTCTCATACACCTACTACGTACTACTTCCCTCCAACTCAGTTTTTCAGATTTGCAAGTGAGAACTTACACATCCATTTTAGCATCTGAGAAACTACGACACAGGGATCAAAGCAGGGAAATGTCTTTTAAGAGCAGCACAGCAGCCACTAGTAATGCCATCCACCTTTCTTTGATGTGCAGATAATTCAGAATTGAGTCATACCTTTCTTATTTTCTTTAAGACTTTCTTTGCTCTTTGCTTTTTCCAGTTTGATTTCCAAACCCATCAGCTTCTTTCCATTCAGTTGAAGAGCTTTATCCATATCTTCAGCAGATAAGAAGTCCACATAGCCAAACCGCCTGAAAGAAGAGCAGCTTCACTGTTTAAGCTGATCTATTTCTAATAACAATACAAACAGAAAGCAAGAACAGGGGGACTATGGTCAAGCTAAAGTGTCAATAAAAACATGGACAGGCTAGCACAGTTAACTAGCAGAAGAGAACAGCAGCTCTGTACTGAAGTGGCAGCTCTCCCTTCAGGGATTAGTATATGTCTGAAGTACACCACCACTATCAGCACTACGTGCATTCCAGTCCCTCCTCCAGCTTCCATTTACTATTAAACAACCATCCCAGCACTCCAAAGGGAATCGGCATCAGAACACTTACAGCCATCCAAATGAATTGCTGCCAAGTGAAAGAAAGAAGAGGCAAAATTCTACAGAGGAACTTACTTGGAAGAACCAATTCTGACTTCTGAAACTTGGAGGTTTTTCTTGCCAAAGAATTCTTTGATGGCAGTTCTCAGTTCTTCGTAGTCCTTGGTGGGGGTCAAGTTTTTCACAAAGAGCGAGAAAGCTGAAGCAGGTGCTTTGAATGAAAAGACATTTGAATGTAAGACAAATGAAGAGAGCTGGAATTTAGACCATTAACAGCATTAGCACATCAGTTTTCCTCAAAACTGACATCACATTTCAGTATTAAGTCCCTTATAATCATCATTTGTGCTGAGGAAAAAAACACCATTGAGCATCCACAACCCCTTCACCATTACATACATGCCTCACCCAGCAGTCCAACAACTCAACTGAGCATCACTTATGACCCCATGCCACTTACTTTCTGTTTTCTTTTTCTTGGCCTCTGGTGCACTCTTATTGGCCATTTCTTTTTTCCTTTTTCCAGGTGCCTCCTTGACAGGTTCTGTGTTTAGGGAAGAAGAAGCAACATTGAAATAGAAGTACATGAACAGAACAACAGCTTCTCCTGTGCTGTATCAATACAGGACTATTAAAATCTACACTACTCACACAGAAGGCCTGCATTACAATTCCTCAGTTCTAAAGACTACAATAGAAAAATTTTTGCTTGGATACTTTTTTGGCTATTGAGGAAAATTATGTTATATAAACTCACTTTCATCCTCACTTTCTTCCTCATCCTCCTCTTCATCATCTTCATCCTCCTCATCTTCATCCTCATCTTCTTCATCTTCCTCATCTTCAGACTCTGCCTTGGCTTTAGCTGGTGCAGCCTTTGCTGGAGTAGGTTTCTTCACAGGAACAGGTGTTGTGTCCATGGCCTCATCTTCAGACTCTGCAACAGGTTGAGCGTGAGATTTCAGGAGCATTCCATATTAAGCCACTTCTGAGTCTAAAAAATGCTCAACTCTATAGTTTTGCATTTCTCATGAAGCTTATACGTTCTCAGGAAGAGTTTGGTAATATTTCAGTGTACTGCCTGTATCTCACCTTTTACTGCATTAACATCAGCTCCCTAAAAGTATTTTTTTTCCCCAACAGTAGAAAAACAAACACTCCTGCTATATCTGACAGACACTGGTAGCCAGCTAAAGGCAGCTGGTCACTAGCTGAACAAAGATACACTGCATCACTCCCACTAACCCACCGTGGTACCCTCCACTGAGCTCCCTGTAACACTTTAACAACTGCATTTTCCAAAACTTTAAGTTTCTCTAAATTATGGACCACATACCATCATCCTCCTCGTCCTCCTCATCCTCCTCCTCATCTTCCTCGTCCTCAGATTCTTGCTTTGCTGGCACAACTGCAGGCTTTTTGGCTGGTACAGCTGCTGCGGACTTTTTGGCTGCAGGCTTCACAGGCATTGCTGGTTCCTCTTCCTCATCTACCACAACAGTACAATAAGCCTTTATCCATAGCACTCAGCGTTCAAACTCTGCCAAGTACTTTGTTTCATCAGAGAAAACTCAAAAGGTGCGGCACGCACTTCAAGTAACACAGCTGCAGTATGGAAAGTTCTCTAACATTCACCAAACACCCAACTGTCCTCCCTCGCTGCCCTTCTGAGTATCGCATTTTGCTGTACTATCAATTTCAAAAGTAATCAATTTCACCTACAAGACCGAACCAACTTTAGTCAACTCACAAAGACAGAAGAAGAAATGAGTTCCTCCAAAAATAACTTACCAGATTCCTCTTCTTCATCCTCATCTTCCTCGTCATCTTCCTCATCATCTTCATCTTCCTCCTCGCTCTCTTGCTTCTTGGCATTCTTGCCATTTTTTGCTCCTTTGCCTAAGACAGCAGCCTTTTTGGGTGATGGAGCAACAGCCTTTTTAGCTGGAGTAGCCACAGCCTTCTTGGCTGGCGTCACTGCCTTTTTTGCAGGAGTAGCAGCCTTCTTTGCTGGGGTAGCAGCCTTCTTGGCTGGTGTAACTGCTGCTTTTTGTTGTTTCTTTGGAGGGACCATCATCTGAAAGAGAGTATTGAGTGTGAGACTAGTGCTGCCCCCGATGGGATATCAAATAGATGAAAGTGACCCCTCAGTGACGTTATGCCTTGACAGCCATTTAGAACTCTGCAGAATTCATGAAGCTGGCACTTTAGGAGCTGCAGCAAACAAGCAACTAG